CTTTAGGCACCCAGACTTGAGGGATTAATGATATTCATTATCGTTCGAAACGTTTGATGCCCAAGAGTTCTCGTGGGTGGGCCGTTGTCTGAACGCGATGCAGGAAGTAGTGGATTTGAACTCCCTATATTCCATGCATGGGTCAGCAAGACTCTTCATGGCAGTGAAACGAGAGACGCACCGGAAGGAACCCTTCTACCACGAAACAAACTTAAGAATTCTGCACCAGCAGGGAAAGAACTGGCCGCCTGGCCCAATCTGAGGAGTGTGCTTGTAATGTCTGGACATCAGTTTCGCAAATAGTGTAATGGTTGGTGGTCGTTGGGTGCTTCAGCAGGCCCTCTATGATAGATGAGAATTCACCGAATGGTTGATTGGGAACCCAAAAGTGATGGTCGCTCCATGTGCGCGCACTTGAAGGAGCGGAGAGCGTCGGCGGGTATCCCACGTTGCACTCCCGCAGTGCACCGTCGTTGTGAATCGCAGCAACGTCGAGAGGATTGGTAACTGCTATCTACCTTTCTATCTATGCGCCCCACCTCGACTCAGTCACTGGGCGTGGATATGCTCGCCACTTCGTCCATTGGGATAGCTGAGGACATACTAGAGAGTTTGAGAAAGCCACTCAAGGCGGCTTTTGCCGCGTGAGCCCGCCACCAGCACAGCCACCCTCCGACCTCGCCTCCGTGCCATTCATCGACATCCCTTCGTTACTGTTAAGCACTATTCTCTCCGTTTATCACACATTCGACGCTTTACTGCACTCGCCATATGGCTACCACTTTCTTGGCCAGCCGGATTGCCTTCAACCGTCGCTTGCTGGAGGTTTTAGCGGAAGCGGATGATTTGGTAGAGGAGCAGACTGCGGGACGGATGCGGCCAGGAGGGCGGGTGAGATTGGAGAGTCTTGGGGATGATGTTTGGTTGCAACAATTCCGGTAGACTCGTTCCCAGTCCCTGTGTTGTAGTTTGAGAATTCAGTGGTATCAAATAGCTTCACCCGTAGCGAAATCAATCAGCTTGTAATGCACCTAGACCTACCGGAATCTGTCCGATGTCCAGATAGTGGAGCTGCGGAGGACCGAGTTACTGCTCTTTGCATGCTTCTACGACGTCTCGCGTATTCCATCCGTCTCGTTGACGTTGAACTCATCTTTGGATGGGAGCGGTCTCGGTTCTCGAGGATCACACGAATTACGGCACTCATTCTATGGCATCGATGGAAGCATCTTTTGCGTTTCGATCCCGTGCGATTATCCCCTGAAAAACTCGAGACCCTTGCTGCATTTGTGGCACTCAAGGGTGCACCGCTGGACGTTGTCGTTGCATTTCTTGATGGAACCCTTCGCAAGAATGCTCGCCCTGTCCGGAACCAGCGAATGGTGTTCAACGGATGGAAACGGATTCATTGCTTGAAGTATCATCTTCTCCTTTCGCCTGATGGCATCGCCATCCATGTTTATGGCCCAGTTGAAGGACGAAGGCATGATGAAACTGTCTACAAGGAGAGTGGCCTAGCGAACCTTTTGCGTACCCATTTTCATACACGAGATGGGCGACTTCTCTTCATTTATGGGGACAGTGGGTATAGCTGCAAGGGGCAGGTTCTCTCACCTTACAAAGGGTCAGTTATTACAGATGAGCAGCGCATGTGGAACAATGCTATGAGCAAGGTCCGTGAACCGGTAGAGTGGATATTTGGGGAGGTGGTGAAGCAGTTTGCGTTCCTCGACTTCAGCCACAACCTCAAGCTCCTTCTGCAACCATGTGGGCTCTATTATCTCATCGCTATCCTCTTCTGCAACGCACACACCATTCTACACCGACCACAAACCCCTCAATACTTCCATTGTCCGCCACCTACTTTGACAGAATACTTCCACGGCGAGCCTGTTGATGACGAAGAACTGGATGCCTGGTGTATGTCAACACCATGGGGGGAGTGTGAGGTACCAGAGGGTGTTACTGGTGACTCAGAGGATCCCAGTCAATCAGCGCAGCAGGAGATGGAGTGAATATATACATATCATACAATAAGAACAGAATAATATACTGTAATTATTTATCCTTTGATACATTGACGGCCAACGTGAGTATAGCAGTTGTCAATGCATTGAGCTGGTCTTTCTGCTGACGCTCACGCTCCATCTCTTCTGCTTGTCGCTCAATATCATGTTTTTGTTGGGCTTCCATCAATGACGAGATGCCATGCAAGATGCCGATCGTCTCTTTATGCAGGTTAGTGAGCTCTTCGTGACGAAGCTGGTCCAAGGTACGGAGTTCCTGCAGAGATTTCTGGTCAGACGATATCTGCTCCAATATCAGTGCGGCGGCATGGCTGTGGCGACGTTTCCGCGGAGGGAATTCAAATTCAAAGTTCTCCTTCTCTGCCGTAGAGAAGGAGAGCGGACGGCGTCTATGAGTATCGTCAGCAAAACGAATCAGCTATACAACAGGCGAGCTTACTTAAGTACTCGTTGAGCTTGTTTTTCGCGCACACTTGCTCCCGGAAGAGCCGATACGTCCACCAGAGACTCGCGATGAACAAGCCCCTTCATAGATGCTTCGCGTAGCTCGGAGGATGCTTGAGACTCAACAGACCTCTTCTTTTTTATCTGTGCAGATTGTTCATCTTTGATACTGCTGTGTACATCGTACAGCTGAGCAAGGCCGGTCAGCAGCTATAGAGTTTTGTTAGAAAATTCAATCCGCCTAAACGGAGGTATCCCTCACTTCCACATGCGCGTCAACTTCCTCGTTCGTGCCGGTAGACTGTAACGATCGAGTCTCATCGCGCTGGAGCAACAATCAGTATGTGTATCTGAGTTCACAAACCTGATCATACCTTATGGGATTGAATTAGCTTCTCAAACCGCTTTCGGCAGGCATACACAGTTCTGTCGATGACAGACTGAGGCCCCTCAAGCGCGGTGTGCTGCCGAAGAGTCTCGGCCAGCGTTTCCCATGCCTTGGTGACCATTTTCGTGTTGGGTTCATCGAATGGGCGCACATTGTCCACTTCTTTGATGAGGCGCCGGTCTTGCCAGGGAAGCCACCGCGGCGACCGTGCATTTTTGGACTGTCTTTGGCTAGTGGTATCTTCAGGTGTTTGGCTACTATCGTCAGGCAGACTTCCTTGCTCGCAATCCCATGCAGGGGAGGGCTGGTGTTGTACTGGGTCAGCAACTGATGTCGAGGAATCAATTGGGATGTCAGATGGTTTTATTGGCAGTTTGATCCGGATTTTCAGAGGTGAGGAGTCTTGATGAATGGTCTTTTGTCGTTTAGCCCTGACCATGGAGAGAAATACGCAAGTAAACGCTCAATTATCGTGAGTTACGACGCGCCGCGCTCAAAGCCGCTGGGTGGCTATCTCACGCGGAAAAAGCCGCCGGTGGCTGACTAAGCAGCCTCTGGTGGCTTTCGCAAACTCTCTACTGTGTGCTATCCGGCGCTATGAGATTTGGGAGAATGGGTAGACATCCTCGACGCATTCATGAAGCGGGTTGAATCGTTGCAAGGACTAGTAACCGAGAGCCGGACTATATGTTATTTTGACGTGTCTCTGATAATACCAAAATACTCACAACGTTGTCGAAGTCAAGGTCGTGGTAGAGGACCTGCTCCGGGCCGGCGATATCCGAAGCTACTCGTCCCCGCTAACGATCATTCAACGTCAAGCTTGATATTGAATATTGAAGCCTCCACATCATCCACTTGCCTCATCTCCGTCTCATAACATCTTCGACCAAGTTGAACGCACGTTCTAGCTCGCAATTTCAGCGGCGTGCCACCTAAAACTCAGGACGCGCGCTCGAATGCGTCGTTTCAAAGTGCTCTGAACACTTGGTGCAGGAATTCTCTTCAGGAAGCGGAGAAGAGTGGGACAATGGTGTACCGTCGTCGGTGAGTTGCTCATAATCAGCGATTTTGCGACCGGCCGACACGCTAAATCTAGTGAGTACCCCCAAATCTTCAAGCTTCAAGCTCTTTCGACACTGGTCTCGCGCGTAGCCAGTCATGCATCATCTTTGGCGTTGGCCACGACGGCAACGGTGACCCCCAGCCCTTCCCGCTGCCTCAAAACACGAAGGCTGGTCTATGTACCACTACGGTTTGACAGACATCCCCGCTATCATCCCCCTCAATGGACGCCACGCGCACCGTGACTTCCCGCCTACCCATCCTCCCGCTCAGCCCGTGGACCTCGACCAACGTCCACCCAACGCCCTCTTCTCATTCCAGGGCCACATACACCTCCAGAGCATATATCATCCTTTCATTTTATACGCCCTCTCTCGCCGCGGCTGAACGACACTACCCACAACCTACGGGATCTCAGAGCTGACAGAGAGGCGGCGGTCGCTCCGCAGCACATGTGCGTCTTTCCAGAGGCAGAGCGCGCCAGCGGGTACCCAAGGAGGAGGCGACATGAAAAGAGGGAGACGACGGCTGGCGCGGTGCTACTCATCAGGATGGGTCGCTTCTGTATGTATACCCTGGCCCCAGCTCGATTTTTCAGCTGGCCGAATCCTCTCTCCGCAGCGGCATCATGCTATGATCGCAGGCGCCTACGACGTTCGCGCTGCATCACCGTTTTGATGGAGAATAAGGATGGCGTGGACGTCAAAGTCACCCTCGCATCGTCCCAGATTTCATGACTGGCCCCTCCAGCCGCTAGCCTCACATTCTCCGCGCTACATGACGAGTCTCCCGCCCCTCGCTCCCTCGCTGCCGCTCCTGGAAGTTGGAAACAGCTTTTCTCCACGCAACAGCCATTGATCGAATACCCACGTGCGACTTTGGAATGATCCTACCACTGGACGTGCTGAACCAGCGACTTTGGGTATGATCGCGTATACGTACAAGGAGTACGGGAACATCCAAGTCATCATGTCCCTGCTCCACGTGTCTCTCTCCACGTCTCCATGTGTCCTTGGCATCATCGAAACAACGCAACCTTGGCTTGTAGGTGTCTTCAACATTACCCCACGCGCACTATGTCTCACTACGTCTCCCTCCACTCTACACTGCCTCGCCTCCTTGATTGGCTTCCTTCTCCGCCAGTAGAGCTCTCCAATGTCACAGTCAATGCCCCCTTACCCAATATCATCAGTCCGCCACCCACAAGCACATGGGGAGGCATGGGTACTATCCCCACGTCAGACTCTGTGTTTGGCAAGGGTGAGAGGAATCGCGATTCTACTGCTTTCGTGGGCCTTCAGTACTCAATGTCTCAGCTACACGACTCACAAGCCCCTCGTATCTACCGACGTAGCTACGGGGGCAGGCCCGACTCCAGCGGCGTCACATTCAAGATGCGGCGCTCAGCTCGACTTCGCCACTCCCAGGGGCTCTGCGCAGCCCCGAGCAATAGCAGGGTACACGTCTCACTTCGCCTTGATGATTTGATGATGGAGAAGGACACCACGAACGCACCATCCTCATGCCAAATCCTCCGCCGCTCCCGACAACGAGGCCTCAAGATGGCTGGCCACCCCATACGGAACGACGGGATACGAGCACAGTGTTGAGGGACTCGGCCACTTCTTCTCCGTGCGTCCGTTTCTCCATCGAACCAAGACGTTGAACGGTCTCTCTCTTTCTCACACACACACACATTGTTCCTGAGGCGAGGCGAGTTCCGAAGAAGCGGAGTTCTGAAGAAGGGGAGGGAGGGGGAAATGAGAAAAAGCCAGGGCGGAACACTGGCACTGCGGCACACGGAACGGCCCGATTTTTTGCTGATTCAAGGTCCGGTCACCATTCCCCCTCCGTTTACCTCTTGGTTCGCGATCATCCCATGTTCCATGTCTGCACGAAGTGGACCTTTTCTATTTTTTATGATTCTTCGAATACGCATACACACTATTGCCTGCTTGACGCTACTTGATTTATCGTGGCTTTCGCCATGTCGTGGGTTCTCTAGCATTCACCGTCCCTGGACCGCGGTACATCTCCCTCAAGCCGTGCCCTCCGGCTCTAGTCTCCGGATACGGAGGGGATATCGTGAGTGTTCGGCGTACTTAAATAATGTGGATTCTGGACTGACGGCGTTTTGGACTGCTGGCAGACGGTTCTTTCAAGATCTCGGGCATACCTACGAACAGCAGGGTAGCGGGCCTGATTTGGACGTCACCCGCGAATCCCGCCGCTTCATCCGTGCCCAGCTTTAACTCCACGCACGCCGAGTTTGGCCTCAACCAGCAAACACAGCGTCCATCTATTCCGGGTACTCTACATCTGGGGCTATTTCGTCGCTCGTATCAAGTACGCGCCGGTGGATTCGTCATGCCAACACTTCCCCCCCCACACACAGACTTTTGATGATGGTCTTGCATGCAGTTGATAATCCCTGTCGTTACTTCTTCGTAGCTACTGCTGCGTCCAGTTCCAGCCCCGTTTCATTGTCCCCACGTGGTCTGGGCGTCTGAGCAACATCCCTAGTTGCCTCTTCCCGCAGCGCTGACTCCACGTGCACTGCGAATTCCCGCCTCTCCCCCGCCCTCTCGGGTTCGCCGCAACTCTGATACTGTCGGCAACCACCCAGGTCCATCTTATCGTTCTCAGACCGTGGAACGCAACATGGCAGTATGTCGAGCGGCAGCTATCTCGGAACATGGGACACACAATTCTCACTGGGCGCCTCTAGACGTGGGGGGCAGCGACGTCCCTGCTACTCGATCCTTTTCTTTCTCCTCGCGTCACGTCGGTGCGTGTCTGCATGCCCCAGTCAACATACAGCCGTATTCTTAGCACGACATCACACAAGTAGAATGGAAGACGTACCGTGTGTGATGGATGGTTATCGATTTCTCGATAGGCGCTACAATACGTTCATGGCCAATGAGCTGCAGAACCGCGCCGACGATCCGAAGGCTTCGACGTCAAAGCTTTGGAGGTCGAGAATAGGATCTTGGGTATCGGCGGTCCCACGATGGGAGAATGTGCAGGCGTTGGATTGTCGCCGAGGCCGTAATCACTGCTCTCTAGCAATTCCTTGCAGATTATCCGAGAGAATCCCTCCTCCCCCACGCCCAACCAGCGGTAACGCGCAAAACTCACAACAGCGTCACTTACGAGCATCGACAAGCATCCGTTGCCTCACGGCGGAAAGTGGACGTGTGGTGCGTGAAAATGAATATCGAAGCCTCGATAGGCGCGAAGACTTATTGATGAACCAAGGGCTGTATGACCTCTCGGCATCGATCCGAACTTTGAAGGCCAGGCGTCAACCCCCGAGTAGGTGGGCTTGGGCTTGGGCAGTGTGACGGCGAGGCATCGCCAGCGTTCAGTAGAATTCACGATCTCAGGATCGAGGGCCTCTTACCATCCCATTACGGCGCGCCGAAATTGCGGCGGATACCAAGTAGCTAGGGCAAGTGCACGACGAAGTACAGGTATGCGGTTTGGTACAGTTGTTCGCCTGCGTATGAGTGTGGAGAGAGTCGCAGGAGACGTAGATGCGCCCAGGGTACACGATTGGTTGGCAGTTGGCGGTTGGATCGTAGAGGGTAGAGGCGGTGTCGTACATGTGCGTGATAAACGAGGGGAGGTGGACGGAGAGAGTACCTCAAGGCGTAGTTGCGAGACGGGGAGTATCGACTGCATACAAATGAACGGGGAGGATCACTGGAGTGACAGCGCTCAAGAGGGAGCACAAAGGGTTGCTAGTGCCGAGCTGGCTAGCGTAAATGTGGTATGTGGAGGTCAGGAGGGGAGAGGCGTTGAAGCTTGAAGAGTGGCGAGGACCTGCCGTCGCAAACTGACAGAGGAGGTGGGGTAGTCCCTAAATTGCGGGAACGAGCGACGGTACTGAATCTCAAGCCGCGATCTATGCAAACGATGGAGTCGAGAAGATACATTGACAGCGGGAGTGCAGAGTCGTTGAGTGGCGAAGACACGCCGCCGCGGAACGACGGAGAAGCTCCGTTGATTACGATTTCTGAGTTGAAGAGACGGCTGCCCAACCACGCAAACGATTGAGCCTGTGACACAGCTCAATCTGGGATGGCGGGTGCGAAACTTTCATCGTCGCAAATAGACATGATGTATCGCAGACTCGTGAATAAGACGGGCCACGAAGGAAGTGTTGGACGGTGGTACCACACGTTCACGCCCATCAGCAGGCGGGAAGTGAGAATATCGATCTGCCTCTACGTATCCCAAGGCGGGAGGCAGTAGGACATCTTGTAAAGAGCGATTGTTCGTATGCCGCCTGCGGGAGATGGGCGAGCTAAGGAACTTATGGAGAGATGACAAAGTGTTTGGTGGAAAGCGCGTACCTGTCAATGCCTGTCCGATACGTGATTCCCCAGCACAGCGCGCACAGCAACACACGGGTATTATGCAAAAGGCGCGTCACGATAGTCGTCATGAGGTCAGCGTAGGTGGGTCTCGGTAGCAAGGCGCAACACTTCATAGATATTTGAAGTTCGAGCAAGCGAGGGAGGGATCGTCTATTCAATGGTTCCGCGAGCATTCCCGGGTTCACAGGGGTATCCGATTCCGCTCGCCAACTCCAAATTCAACTGCTACCACGGTCCACCACATGCACAGCAGATGTGTGCTTTGAGTTGACCCAAGTGGCACGAACACCAGGTCAAAGCGACCTGAAGACTGAAACGGGTATTCAGCTGCGCAGCCACCCTCGTTCTGAATCTGTGGATACGTATTCGAATCCATTCGAAGTGTCGGTAGACCCAAAGATGACGAAACGGTGAAGCGAAGTCGGGTGAATTGCCCTTGGACTTAACAAGCAATGGTCGACAACCGATCGTAAAAATATGCAACTGCCTGGTGGCGTAAGGTCACCTGGAGGTTGATGATGAACGCAGCTGCCAACATGGTTGAGAGATACGACTCCCGCCATCTTTTCTCTACTCGAACGCCTCTCTACCCGGCGTTGTCAGACCTCAGCAAATGGCGAGGTGTGAGGTTCAGAGGAGCATATAAGTGAAAGTAGCCGTCTGCGTAGGTAGGTTCGCCTGCTCGTTAGCCATCGTTAGTCGTTGGCAGAGCTGAGGACGTGCTGAGTGATAGGTGGCACTGTGAGAGTGGTCGACCCATGGAGCGGGTTGAACCGTTGAAAGGACTAGGTGAGAATCTAAATTCTGTTATTTTAACGCGTCTTTGAAGAAGAGATGAAAGTACTCACAAATTTGAGGAAGTCGGGTACATTGGTTCGTGTTATGATGAGATGGGAGATGAGATGTCCGGGCCGGCAACGTGGGAAGCTACGGAGCCAAACGACTCATCCCGCTAACGACATCCAATGAACTCTTACGTATCGTCTCCATCCCGAAGCGTTGTGGCCACACTGGAACTCACGGAACGCGCGAACGATGGGATCAAAGACTTGAGTGTGAGCACTTGAGTCGCATACCAATATCTGTGCTGTACCACCCCGAAACTCAAGAACCAGCAATCTCTCGCATACATCTCTTCAATGTACCACAGAAACATCTTGCTCGAGGAGGGGGAAGGAGGGGGCTCATAGAATGGTGTACCTTCGTTGGTGAGTTTTATTACACCGACACTTTTTCACCACTTGACTCTCGTAAGCGTCGCGAACTTCTGACATCGCTCTCGTACATAGCCGACAGTATTTGTCGTTCTTCTCCGGGGCCGCAATGGCTGATGCATCCAGCCTCAGTCATTCCCGCTGTCTCAACAACACGAAGCCGGGTCTACGTACCATTTGACAGACATCCCCGTTGTCATTTCCCTCAATCCACGCCACGCGCACCGCGACTTCTCACCTATCCACCAACCTCCTTCGACGCTGGATATCGTCGGTACGCACCTTGCAGCCGCACCCTCCCTCTCAGCCCGTGAAACTCGCCCAACGACCACTCTACGCCTGCGCCCCATGACGACCTCTTCTCATCCCACACCATCCTTTTCTACGTCATCTCGCTGCCGCTGCTATTACTCGCAGTTTCATCAACCTGGAATCAGACCCACGACTCGGTGGTAGCAGGGGGGAGATGGGGAGGCGTCGTGCGTCTGTGGAATTTTGGAGCTGAGAGTGTGGACAGCGGCTCCAAGTCCGTTTTCTATGAAGCGCAGCGTGGCGTTGGGTATCCAAGTAGGCGACATAAAAGAGGGCGTCGAGTCCTGGCATGATTCCACCCACGCACCGCGCCGCTACTCAAATCGTATCAAACTCAGGAAGATGGGTCGCTTCTGTCTACCCTTCTATCTACGGACTCCAGCTCGATTCAACAGATGCCTGGTCCTCTCTCTTCGCAGTGCCGTCAGGCTATGATCGCAGACGACGTCGACGTTGCGCGCTGCCTTTTGATGGAGGAAAAAGGATGACGTGAACGCACCATCTCGCCAAATTCACTCTCCCGTTGTCCCGTTGCCCCATGTCTCACGACTGACAAACTCGATCAGCTGGCCAGGCGCCGCCGCCGACCCCTCACTCTACGGATACCCCTCGAGTCTCCCCCCTCCTCACCCACGCCTTTGCTTCACGCTGGAGCAATCGAATACTTGACTCACCTGGGACTTCGAAATGATCCTACCGTTGGACACGCTCAGGCAGTGACTATGGGAAAAGGGGAGGGAGGGAGGGGAGAGGGAATGGCGTAGATGATGCTCTGGGAGAGAGAGCTTGAAGAGAACACTGGGAATCGGGCATATGAAACACTGCCGATCTTTTTCTTAGTTCAAGCTCCGGTCTCCTGCCAGGTTTCCACTCCGCTTACCTCTCAGAATTTCCCCAATCACGCTTGTATTTGTTGCGAACCTCATGCGTCAGCAGCACCGGCGACGAGTCCCGCGCGAACTCGGACTACGAGGGGCAATGCAGCGGTGTCAAGAATACACTTGGAAGACTTTTGCCGTGCACGTCTATCTCTGCATGCACCCGCTGTTCTATCCCCTCACGTACTGCCCAGAGTTCATGATCCGTGAATGTGGTCACTGGCGATCAATGGGGCTATATCCCCGAACAACCTGCTCTAGGAAGGGCGAAGGAATGTCGCAGCGCACAAGGACATTTTCGGCGCTCAACATCAACGCGTCAACGTTCAACGGCGAGTCCCCTACATCAGCTCCATCGCCTGGTGTCTTGCCATCCACTACGCACGTGGGCTGCCTACAGAGTCTCACGCATATTTCTCTGGACGCTGTGCGCCATGCGCTGCAAGCATGTCTCGTCCCCCCGTTCTACTGCGTCGTCTGATGTCTGTCACTCAGCCTCCATCAATCCTCCCGCGGGCTCGTGGATCTTCCATCTCTGCAGCTGCAGGTCCGTCTACCGTGTACGTCTCATTCACGTTGCCCACCACGAGCCGATCTGGCGAGGCGCTCCATGTATTCTTAGAGGCTGCAGACCACATACACATACGACGGTCGACTGAGCCGAGGTGTGCGATAGGATGCGATGCGATGCATATGCATATGCAGCGCGAAGTAGTCTAAGCTCAATATACTTGAAGAGCGGGAAGCGCACCGTGCAGTGCAGCATTTATGATGACACTCCGAGCCCATATATCCACAGTCGGTCCTATTCATATCGCATGAAACGGTCTCATTACCCAATTGCAACGCCAATACACTCGTCTGCGCACATATTCTGATTATCCCAACTTTGCTCATTTTCGTCAAACCCGAAGCAAATAGATATTACATGCCCTCGTACCCAATGGACACTTTCCGAATACAAACCTTGGTAGATTATTTGACTTGCACGAATAGTAGAATACTACAGATAAAGTACAAGCCACTAGCATATCGAGCGTATGTAGATGAGGTTGTACATTTGAGAGACAAAAGTGAGGACAATCCATACGCCGCAAGGCTTAATAGGACATCAATATCGGCACCTACATTCTTGGCGCTCCTGACGCTGATAACGCTATGGCCTCCACTGTGGTCGTGCCTTGGCGCAGCGAGCGACTCCACGTGTTGACGGGTTTGCTTCCCGAGGCTGAGGCTGAGGCTGAGGCTGAAGACGTCTGCGAGCCTGAGCCAGCAGACCCTGTGGTCGAGATTGTTCCGTTGGCAGGCATGATTTGCATGGGGGCTTCATATGAACTACATTTTGATCAGATAGGAGAAACACCGAAAATATGACAATGTGAATGTTTGAATACGAACTGGTGTTTACATTATTCCTCCCGCCGACGTTACCGCCATGGATAGGAGCCAAGAACGCATCGCCGGTGTTGTGGATGTAGTTGATGTTGACGGTGCGATGTACACTATTGATGGAGAAAGGTTTCCCGGCAGAAACGGAGTTCGTGCCGTCCAAGAATGAGATCTCGCGTGCATAGATGGAGATGGTGAGGTCGCCTTGTTGGGACGAATGCGAAGGGAATTTGAGGTGGAGGTTGTTGAGGGACTGGAAAGCGCCAGAGGGCGACAAAGTGGGGGGGATCGTGGTGGCACCCCAATCAACGATGGAGATGAAGCTGTGGCTGAGAGAGATAGAGAGTGTGAGATAGCACGGTCGATCATGGCCTCGATGACGTATCAGCTGCGTCTCGGGCTGAGGAAGTTCGTCTTTGAACTGAGACCATGGAATACCACGCCGAGCAGCGTTGTGCCGTGCTACATCGAAAATGAGACGACAATAGCCAATCATCGTGAAATCATACCAGACCAATGATCGCGACTGATTGTGTCAAGTGCACGCATGATGTCCTCGATGACAGAGACGTCAGTATCCTCGTCTTCGATGAATCGACGCTCCAATTTCGTCTTTTCGTATGCAATCAGAGTGGGCTATGGAACAAGAAATTCAACGCACCATATCCTTGTGAAGGAACCGAGTGCAGTCCGCCTGACTCGCAAATTCAACACAGAAACGGACATCGACATCTATGAGTGAAATGTAATATCGACTCTACGTCTATCAGCATTATGCGCGCACACGCAGGAACACTTGTCCTCACCCGTTCTACCTTGTACCAGACAGTGGCTGTCCCAACGGACAATGCGTGCGTAACTGCGATATGAGCCTCCGCCCGTCCACAATGCGCCGCTCGTAAAGCTATTCTATCAGCAGCCTTCCTAGTTGTCAACACCTCTTGGCGCATATATCCGTCCCTAAGATATTCGATATTGAGGTCGTTCCCGAGTTCCCTACGACATTTAGCTACGGCATCTATCAACTAGGGAACACGCTCAATACTCACCTAGGTGCAGGTGGCGTCCAACACAACCCTTTCGGACAGTCTGTCGTCGTATACCGCAGCTCTGTATGTTCATACAATGAAATAGTTGCTCCGGGACACCAACTATCGTCAAAGTCGATTCGAACACCTATGTTTTGTCACTCACTCGTCAAGCTTCAAGCTCTACGCGAGTGGAACTCAAACAAAATAACTACCTTCAATATAGCAGTAGTACCTCGTCCTTGAATCGATCCAATCGTCAACTCTGCAACCTTCAAGTCCTTGACTCCGTACTCACTCGATTCCGGTCTCTTCGTTACGATGCCAAATCATACTTCAAGCTGAACACGAGCGGCGCGAGACGGAAACAGACGATGTAGATGCGGGAGAGCTAGAGATGGACGTTCGAGCGAAGGAGCTGTAGCGTCGTAGCGCTCGCATCTTGCTGGTTCGAGCATGCCTCACGGCAACCACGCCTCGAAGATCTCACGGATGTCACCCTCTGCTCAGCAAGTCATACTGCGTTATCATTGATGTTGGCTATTCGGAGCTACACAGACCGCTGTCTTCTCACCGATACCCAAGGACAACCAACGCCCACCGCATACCACGCGCCCTCCCGAGCTCCCAGCCCCCGCGCGGGCTGAGCTCCGGCTCTCTGATCTATAGCAATGCTTGGCGAATCATCCGGGAGCATGTAGTCCTCCAACGAGGTGGCCTGCGTCGACAGAAAGCGTCAATCGTGGACAAGTCGAGGCGATTCAGCTTTGTTCCCAACAAGGTAAAAAGAGGACATATTCTTAGCACAACATGACACGAGGAGAATGGAAGACGTGCCATGCATATATACATGGATATCGAAGCCTCGACATAGGCGCCGCGGTACAGCCATGGGCCACGGGGAGAAATTGCAAGCAGTCATTGAATCGCGAATGCTACAAGCACGTCAACTATTTCTCGGTTGGGAATGATGTCCTTCCACCGTTGGCGCGCCGTACTGATACCCATATACCGGAATCGTAGGACGAAGTGCGAAAGATCGCAAACCATCTGAGTACGGCCGTGGACAGAGAAGGAGGCGCAGGCGTGAAAGAAGGGCGCGTTCAGTTAAAGCTTGACTATTGGCTATTGGCAATGAGGGGTTCAGCAGTTTAGCAGTTCGACGCGGTGTATGACGAGTGCCACATAAAACAAAGGAGGAGACACGAGAGGGTGCTCTCAGTCATGATTGCAAGACAGGAAAGTATTGACTAGATCTGAACAAACGGGGAGGACTCGCTAAAGTGACGACATGTGGAAGGAAATCACGAGGAGTTCCCAACGGCTGGCTGGGTACTATGAGTGTTCGTAGACGTCGGGAGGGTAGGGGCTCAAACGTTCAAGCTTCAAGAATGGCGAGGACACCCGCCGCCACGGATCCACAAAGGATTCCAGGAATATTTTGGGCGATTCCTGAGTCGAGGAGACGAGCGACGCTACTCGATTTTTCCCCCAAGTTGTCATTCACGCGATCGGTTGAGCAACGAGATGACTGAATCTTCGATGGCGCGAGCGAATTCCGTAAAGGGACCTCCCCCGTGAGGAAGGTGTCGGAAAACTGACAGCGAGACCGAGTTGCCGATATTAATCGCGGATATGAAGGGAAGATGGGCCGCGAAGCAGACATTGGATATCAGTCCTAGGTGTCGACGATAGGTAGCGGGTATGGGGCGAGGAAAGTGATTGCTGCGTGTCCTGGGGCAAGGATAATGAGATGCAATAGTGATCTAGTGGAGAGCTATCATTAGTGTGTTGTTAGTGGGAGAGCAATGGAGGAAGGAACTTACGGAGAAGAGGTCTTGAGTTGAAACCGTCCCTCAACCAATATCTCTCCAGTTCGTTATCCTCTAGCACAGCACGCACAGCTGGGCACGCGGGATGTAGTCTAGCCCCTGCCAATGGTGTGTCGTGTTAATTGTCGCCAAGGAATGTCCCTCACTCCCTAAAGTCTCCACACGTTATTCCTGCGATCGTACAACCTCCAAGCAGCGAGGTCTCAAAATCTGGGCTGGAAGCGGGATAATCGGGTGCGCCCTACCCGCTGCTCTACTACGTCGTATGATATCGCAGCAAGCCACGCGACATGCCAAATTACGCAGCATGGGTGGCTCTGGATTCGTTTTCGGTGATGGGACGGCGACATCCATAAGAGCAGCAAGAGGTAGAGTAGAACCCAAACGTTTTTGAGTCCTTTCCAGCGCTTCACCCAGCCCGCGCAGTGACAGATGAACGGGGTTTCGACCAACAGTCCCTGTAGTCAAATAATAATACACGACGGAATGGCCAGACACTCGTATTAAAATACACCACTATGCTAGACCCCCCCTCCGTACATTATAATATACCATTAGGCCTCATTATAATGTGAACCTTTCCCCTTGAGCGACCCCATTTTAATGCCCACACTGAATTATTATACACCCGCTAACGTCCATGTTTTAATGCAGGCGACCTCACTGCTGCCCCCTCCCCGCGAATTATTATACACTCAAAGACGTCCACATTTTAATGCAGGCGACCTCACGGCTGCTCCCACCCCGCGAATTATAATGCACCCGCGAACGTTCACATTTTAATCCAGGCGACCTCACCGCTACCCCGCGAATTATAATGCATCCCAGTGTAGTACTGGATCTCAATTGTAATGGTGCCTGCTGGCCTTGAAATTCTTCGCTCCGTGAGGGCATTATAATCACGTCCAAGTTATAATTTGAGCCCAGCTAAGTATCTACATCCCCCACCTCTACGTCTCCATCCTCCATACCTTCCATCTCGTTATCACTGAGGTCCAACTCTACCACCAACGGCGGCGCTATCAACATTGCCTGATTGTTCCGCAGGATATCACCCTGGCCCAACTGAGTCGTAAGCACAAGCGTTGCCCGCTCTTGAATGGCTGCCCACTGTCGTTTCCACATGACTACGCGCCGCCGCTCGTACGACGCCTGTCGATATGCATACGCCCGAACTCCCTCAAACAATGCGAGATCGTTTGATTCAGGTGGCCTGCTTCTCGTTGTCGCAGCGTTATCCCAGTACATTGCCTTCCATTCGCAATAGGCTATAGACCGTCGCATTTCCTCCTCCAGGAGCAGCACCTCTTCTCTCCATCTCTCCGCACGAGCGCGCGCTTTCACCCATTCAACACGAAGACCTGATTGATAAGAAAGTGAGTCGTCAAATACGCAGTCAAGTCGAAAATAACTACTAACAGGCCTATACCTCTCCAACCCCCATGAGTTCTTCGTCGGTAACTGTGTACCAAATCCAAGACAACGTTCGGCGACCTTCTCCAAGGGCAAGACTGCGGTTGAAGGCGACGGTTGGTATGTTTTCTTGCCCGCTGGTGGTACCCAGCCCGTGGAGTTCACCTTCAACAGTTTCCTCGGACATCCCGGCAAGTAGCCTAGCACGGCGGTATTCCTCTTGCTCCTCTTCATTCAGAGTACGTTCGTTGATCCCTCGAATGTCCTCAGCACGTAGTACTTTCAGTGTATTTTCCCAATCTCCTGGACCTCGTAGTGATAGGAGTGATCGTCTAGATATGTCATATTGTGCTCGAACGGCTTTGATTCGGACTTCGATCTGATTCTGGAGGAGGCGGCTTCTCGTGTAGGCGCCCTGAGAATGAGCATTACGTGTCTTGTAACTATTGGCAAACGAATGTGTACGGAGTTGTCGACGTAGATGAGCGAGAGCTTCAGTCGCCTGTGCGAATCGCAGACGATTCTCAAATTCCGGAAGGCCCTGTTGGCATATCAGATCGCGTTGCGTGGAGGCGAAGAAAGAAGGAAGGAAGAGCTCAATAAGCTCAGGTGAAGATGTCGACTCCTCGTAACCCTTCTCTTTGATGTAATCGGCAAGGCCAGGCATGTACGTATTCTGGGTGTCTCAAAACTTCTTTATTTTCTTAAGTAGCGCTGTACGACTCGTTTGGAGTTGTGTCGCTTCAACAGTCGTGAGGTCGTGTTTACTTGCGGTGACAAGAAGCTCCTGCCTGGTGAATCTGAGTTCAGCAGCAAGAGGGCCCCGTAATTGGGCATGGACTTACTGGGCTGCTTCGATGTCCAAACCCGTGATAATGAAGTTACTAGGACTGGTGTCGCCGGGGAGTGCCTCACCACGTTGTACTCGGCGATGTTCTTCCTCCGCCATCTCCTTTTTCAGATCGGACATCGTAAGATCTTCAGAACGGGCACGCGTGTGAGCAGAAACATGGTCACAAACACGTAGAATGCATACCATCGCGTGGTAGACCGAACGGACATGGTTGATCATGATCCAACTCCCAGGCTCGGACTTGGTTTTCCCATTCTAGTAGCTCTTCCGAATGTTGTTCGTGAAGGCCATCTGTGAACGCACGAAACGCTTGGTGATGGATCGCAGCCTGAGGAATAGCCAATGTCATTTTCTTCAGTAGAGAATCACCTATGTTTGAGTCCCATCAGTAAGTGTCGTGTCGGCAAAGAGGAACCTACGTACCCAGGTTGACTGTCTTTCGCCAGTTCCAAAAGTTGCAGAAATCGTCCAGTGTGTCTTGACGACCACCTTGTCCCATCATGGACACAGAATGCGATACTTTGTTTAACCACGACCACATACGCTCGACGCCTTCGCCATCGGTCCGACCCACCCATTTGGTATAATTCAGAGAGAACGGTGCATGGCAACTTTCTTTGTGAGCTGCCAAGTGAAACTTTGGGATACGGAAACGAAGATCGACGCGAGAGGAGAGCTGGAGAGCCGAGGGAAGCTGTGTCATACGGGTGAAGAAGTTCCGGTACCATTGACAGGCGATGTCGTAGGTGATGGTTACCAAGAAGAGCGATGTCGCCATGATGCTTGAGAGAAAGATGTAGTCCATGTTAGCGTATTGCTCCCCCTTCTGCAGGTCGCCGATACCGTTTGCTCGGAACATATCACTACGAGCACAGCTAACAGATCCGATGCCAGTGGCACGCAGACCCTTTGAACGGCGCGTGTTGGCTGACCAAAGGGCTGCGAACCCAACACAGTGGTTGATCTACGACACATGAGTTTAAGTGAACGAGCTTCGATGACGTTGTCGCAGGCACGAACCTCTTCAGGATCAACGTTGTCATACTCCAAATTGGGATTTGTAGTAAGTGACATGAATATTAGAGTTTTATAGCTATTTCATACGCTACTATAAAACCAAGGCATACACTCGCAAATTGAGTCAAGTCAAACGGACCTCATATAACGATCATAGACATTATTTCCTACTTTCCCCTATTTACTCCTGGGACCCCTAATTAATATTCCAACATCCTAGTAAGTCAACAAGTCTTAAATCACTATGTTACATGACAAGTAAAGATTGCGGAAATGACAAGAACTGTACGGAAAGTTGAAGCACTTTACGGAACCTTCTAGTATTTTGCAAATACTTATCAAAGTGACATTAGATCTTGTTCATGAAAAGCTCAAATAACTTGAAAGACATACAAGAACATAGTAGAATGTCTGAGAAGTTTATAGAACTTTCCAGGATGTAACGGAAAACTGTACTTACTAAGCAGCAAGCCTTAACTTACTAAGCTTTGGCTTGGCCATTACAAATCATTGGCTTACTCCTGCTGAAATATGAGTCATTCAGAGATTCAGCACAGCCTTGAAATGCTTGGCATTGCACTGCCTCCTTTCCTCTGTAGTCTATATAAACCCCAAATTGTAGTAGATAGAAAAAAGAGACTTTTACCATCTTTCTTCTCCTGCCCTCATTTCTCATCCTCTTCCCTCCTTTTCTTTTGCAGTACCTACTTCTTATTAAGTAGAGTATTACTGTAGGTTACATAGTAAAGAATAAACTTGATTAGTTGATAATTGAGTGCTTCGACCTGTGAAACCCCTGCTAGAGAAATAAGATTACGTGTCTTGTGTACACCTAAGTCTTTATACTTTAGTGATTGCTCCCCAGTCGTATTGAATTCGTATAGACCGTTGCTGGCTAAGCATTAGACTATAGAACGATTCTATAGGTGTTTAGTAATAATATCGGAAGTGATCTAGCAGAAACGTCTGATCTAGAGCTTCATATTTCAGTTGAATTGTCGTATCGCAGTTTGTATTATTGGAGCATTGCTAGTATACTCAGTCAGGAATATTCCTTCGTCTCAGTACTACTTGTCTCAGTCAGTTACTATTTGCTTGTGTTTACCTACGTATTATTCACTTGTTGAGTAGTTCGTACTAACGTGTTGTGAAGTGTTTTACCTTACACTTCTTTCTTTCCTTCCGACCCTTCTACCCCTTTCCACTCCTATTTCCCCTATCTGTACTACTCGGTAGTATAGTTCCCAAAGCCATTATTATCAATAACACACCTCTCAGCCTGCACAACTTGGGTGACTGTTCGATCTATCTTGACTGATCCAACTACATCCAAAGCATTTAGTGAAAACCCCACTGAGTGTGACAACGTACTTAGATAGATGATCAAAAGATGTGTCGCCCGCCACGAACGTTGCCCAACCAGGGCCAAGTGCAGGATCACGATTGTCAGCTGAACGAAGCCGACTCTTCTGCTTGAAATTGGCGTCTTCCTGGAGGATCAGGCCATATAACCACCGACGTCCAGGTGATGCACTCTCCCATCCCTGGGGGAGATTGATTCCAGGATGCGGGCATGAACGACAAGGGATAGATAGTGCGCCTTGCGCTGTTGCATCCAACCCGGAAGGGTCCTGGCCACGACCTGCTCGCTTCGCCATTCTAATGTGGCGCCATTCACGAACAGTAAGCATGAACTGTTGAAGTCGATCCTTCCGCCCGATTCCCTATTCAGTAGGCCACGTTTCATCAGTCAATGAAACTCACCGGTGGATCATCGAGGCCGCCGCCGTTATGAAGTTGCTCCAGGGATCGGTAGAAGTCCGTGGCGGGTAAGCAACCTTGAAGATTAAGATTATGGAAGAGCCGTAAAAGTGGGAACGTTGTCGCCGTTTGGGGTTCCAGAGGAGAAGAGGGCCACCAGCCGACCTCGAGGAGCTGGAGGTGATGATTGAGCGCACTGGGACAACCGCAGAAGTCAAGATTGATGGTGTGAATCCCATTGGTGTGGATCACTACGAAGTCAACGTGCCCACGTTGGACTAGAGGGCAGCTTTGGATGACTGAGTGACCTAATTGGACACGGAGACCAAGTGACTGAAGAGAACAATTTTCGTAGTAATCATCGTCAGTCCACCTCTAGAATTGCGTCAATGACATAGCAATAATATAATGCCATATTACCTCGATACAGTGCAATGGCGCACAACGGTGCAGTTCAACAATGCACTGGGCGCAATACATGAAATGCCCGTGACAATCGGTACACCGATAAACCGATTCGCCTCCACATTGGGTGCAACCGGATTCATCGTACCTTCCGCGGCCGTCCAGAAGTAACGTGGCATCTAGATACTGCTGTCGATATCCGGTTTTCCATGTAAGTAGTGGCGCATCCTTGAAGGAAGAGGCATTCGTCAGCCGTTGGTGTAGTGAAAGACGGCGAGCCTTACCGAATTGATGTAACGCTTCGCCTTTGCCTTGACAACTAACCCAGAGCTGTCAGTTTGTTGGTTGTTGTCCATCGCGGTGTCATTCAACTCTCCCAGGGCATAGTCAAAGGTGGCCGTTGGCGGCGTGCTTGTATCAACTTCGACCGCCGGTGTTGTCACTGGTGCATCGATCAGCACTGAGCGGATGCGATTTGCAGTAGATGTCGAAGCAACGAAGGAGGCGGCCTCAGGCTCGTGAATGTAGATACGGCGGCGTTTCTTGTCTTTCATCAAGCGTAGTAGAGTATAGTTGATTTGATATGTGTTACCACAGGTGTGAATTAGTAGGTAATAATTGTACATAGGCGCCAATTGTCACTTGTTGTCAGCGAGCGCCAAGGCCGGCGAACTGAAGTCACAATGGCTAGAAGATAGTTAGCATGTACCAAGGCAGACGATAGATAGGCCAACCTAGGCTTGATTGTTTGCTTTGAATCTCCGTGAGGACTCCTCGACTTCAAGTTCCTTTGAGCCTTCTTCTTTAACTTCGCAGCGAGTAGGTCTCTACGCAAGGGACCCATGTAGAGGGCGGCGCCAAGTGGGTGATACCTGGGAATGAAGGGCTCAGGTTTGCCATGAGGGGGCGATGGGGGATCCTCCGAGTTCGCTTTCAGTTGCGACAGCTCATCGGCACTCTTGGTGGTAAGGACGTCTTGCAGCTTCTTCTCAATGAGCTAGGGAAGAGATTTAATTATCGAGAGATAGATGGCGGTAATCGAGACACGTACTGCTTGCATTCGACGGCGAACAAAACGTTGGACGTCGGAATCGGCTGTCAGATACTCCATTTCATGGAACCGTTCGACCCAACGGTCAAAAAATCTGTTCATAAACACGGTGGTTTGGCCGAGGTGGTCTGCTATTCCATAGGCTTCCAAATTTTCAGCCAGGAATTTTTCTTTGGCGTCGGTGAACTTCATCTGCTAGGTCGGCCCACTGAGGTGGGAAGCATGAAGTGGAGTATTACTTGCTCACCGTTCAAGATGTCGTGGAATGTGAGATTCGAGCCTGTATCAGAGAGAGTGGTCGCCGTGAGTGAAAGGGAGCACAATGAAGTTGCAAAGAACCACCCCCTTCTCCAAAGTTCAGCCATGCGGGGCCTGAATCCTGATACGCTGATTGACACGTCCTTCAAGTTTGGTTTGTGAAGTTGTTGTAGTTGCGATAAAAAATTAGGCAAGCGAATGAATATCGTGGAGTAAGTTGTTCGCCAATTGTTGCCTTGAAATGAGTAAGTGGTTCGTCAATCGTTGTCGTTAACATCTGAGCGGCAAGCATCAACTACTTCCAAACACCAACTGTTTGGCTTCAGTATTACCAACAAACAAAAAAGATAAAACATAAACTTACCATCGTCGGTAAAGCAGCTCAATTCTGTATAATCGGGGTGTGTATAGCACAATACGACGTCAAACCCTATACCTATATGTAAAAATATTCCGCGATCATGCCCTATATGATCTCCACGAAAAAGTCAGACGAATTATGCACGCTAAATCCAACTCGAGTCCCACTTTGCACTTACCAGTGATGCCTCGCAAACGCATTTACCACACCAAGGCCGAGCTTCGGGCTGCAAACCAGGCCAAAAGTAACCGATATTACCACAAGTATGTCTGGCAACAAGCTATCATATTGTAGTACTCACCGAGGACAGGAACAAGTTGGAAATACAAGCCCGGCGCCGGCAGGTATACACCTCTCAGTATGTCTGTAGCCACTCACTATCTATTGTATAACCTAACATCCTCGGTGTACAGAAACACTATTACCACGCCTCAGGAACATCTGAATGACAATGAAATGGCTGCGTCAAACTCGGCTAGTCAGAATGTTTTAGAGTAGGTGACATCATTTGTTCTATGTTTGTCTCAATCTCTTATCCCTTGCGTCAAATCTAGATCAAATACAGCCCGATATATCCGTCTAGCCGAGCAAATGGGAAGTAAAGTCGAAACGTTCATCAAATTCTCGCCGTACAAGTTCGTCGACACGATCTACCACAACTACGTTCAATCATGCAATTCCTCCGATGTTGGCAATATGCACATAATTCAAGCGCCTACGAAGCAGTTGATGCGGTGGCAGAGGTGCCTGCTTCGATGCTTTGAGGCTATTTCACAAGACCCTGGTGTCGGTGGCGACTTGGGCAGGATCCAAGCTCACCATCAAATGGCAGGGCGAGTAGTCGACGACCTACAGCAACTTCTATGTGAGGTTATGGTAGAAGATTCGGTCTCAGCCTTGCAAGCGGCTCACGGCGTTGGGAAACTTAGTTATCAGCAAAAATAGGCACGTATTAGACGACAGTGACGGTAGACATGTAGTCGAGTGTACGTAGAACACCCCAATTTCATCGTAACGCCGCTACATGGGACGAGCAGGAATAACGCGGACAGACCCAGCCCTCACGCCTTTCTGGAAGTGCTCAACGGCAAGGCTCTCCGTCCTAAATCCGATGACTACGCCGCCGCTGATGTAGTCGATCAAGCCACGACCAACGTCACTAAGATTGATTGATCAACACTGTAATACTAAATGGCACGCTGACATAACTTACGCTCCTTTCACGATGCCGACTTGACTACCAGCGGTTACGGCATAGTATTGCTTGGGGTCCTTGGTGTAGTTGAGGGCGCCGCACTGCCCGCAAACGATGTTGGTGGCAGACGTCGCATCTGGCTCCCCATCGGCGGGGCTGATATCAAGGGCGGACATGTTTGTGGGTACTAAGTACCGCACCTCATCGCTGCCGGGGGCCTTCCAGGAAATTAATGCTATATGCAGTCAGCTTGTGATCGCAACGTTGAGGACTATAGACTTACAGGGGTCCTCGTTGAACTGAACACGCTGGGTAGCAAGGAATGCCATGACAGCCGCGGCGTTCTCAGGCGTGATGGGCATGGACAGAGTGGAGCCGACGGGGAGGGTTGCGAAGTGAAGGGCTTGCATTGTAAAGGAAATACTGTTGCGAACTTGGGTGGTTGGCGGGGTGAGCTGGGGGATGAGGCCGTTCGAGCACCCATTATATATAGTCGAGGATGTACTGCTTTGAGAATCGAGATTGCGATCGGGAAGCTCGAAAAAAAGAGTGAGACCCGTGCCGTTCTCAAAAGTCTTCGGGGGAGAAACTGAGCTTACCTTATTTTTACAGCGTCCAAATCCCCATCTAATAGAATGCCCGCCAAATCAGCAAAGGGACGCGGACGCAGACGCAGACGGCATACCTGGGCCAAAGGAAGCAAACTCATGTTCCTCGAAAGCTTCAAGGACGAGTATCTCGCGACTGCGGACCCTGGAGGGGTCTATACCAAGGTCACGGCCCTGTACTTGGAGAAGTACGGATACGACCTTCCTCATGATGCCGTACCATCGGACACGCTTCCCGCTATTCCCAGTATTGATGACCTGCCATACGCGGAACAGTTGGCCGAGCAGGAGCGTCGCGAAGACATCAAAGCACAAATGCGGCTGGTGAGTTACGGTATACATCGGTTTAGGAACATGACTCTCACCTGAGTCGAATAGCGAATCGGAAACTGGCTTCGCCACCGCTACAAACAAAAACAGACGGACCAGGACATGATTTTGGAAGTACTTCAGACGATGTCGACCTTATCTGCTCAGCGCCCACACCGTCGAACCCCAATGAGCATATACTGGGCCGAGAACTATGCGGTACGGCTTCGCAAAGACTTCGAGGTTATCTGGAACAAGGCGAAGGACAAGGCCTCACCTGATGCGCGTATATCCATGTGTACAGCATATGTGACTGCCAGATACGCGGCCGAGACTCCTGCTTTCAGGAAGGAGCTTGAAGAGAGGGCGGATAGGGAGTATGCTGAAGCTTTAGAAGCGTACAACAATCGAAATGTTGTTGATGGCAGCCCTGAAGCATTGCATCAGTACGCCCATTGAGCTCCTTGTTGTATTGTGTTACTCACCATAGACTAGAGTTTGGGAAGAAGCAGATAGCTTCCTCCATGTGTTTGTGGATGCAATCGCGAAAAAGTTTGGCATGAGCGTGTCGCTGCTATTAGTCGGACCTCTTGGCGCGGAACAAGGGAAGATAAGCATGCGAAGGTATGAACATGTGACCGCGAGTTCGACTTGGTTCTCACACTTCTTCCTTCATGCAGCGCGCATTCGAGCAATCCTGGCAGTATGACAAACCTCATCTGGCCCGAGTTTGACAAACAAGGGTTCAGAAATGTGCAAGCTTCACTCATCAAATATGGCGAATCAGTCTTCTGTAAGTTCAACCCTCTTATCGGGGTTCGTCAACTCATTCATTTCTTTATCTAGCTCCTGCAGAATGCAAGCGGCGTATCATCTCGGTTAGCTCAGAGACAGAAGCCGATGAAGGCCTATCGATATCACTGCCAGATACTGCGCCCCCCTCACCACCTGTCGAAGAACCCGAAGAAAGGCTTTCTGACAGCGACCAAACTCTAGATGGGAAGGGGCTGTACCATATGGATGGCACGCAGGTGGGTGCTGCACCTGGAGCCGGAACGTTCACCCAACTCCTTGGGGGCTTTTGGGACGACCCAGCAAACTATGAGGATCTAGGAAACTTCGCGTTCATGCAGTCACAGATACCAGTACCATCTCCGTCTACGCAGCCACCACTTCCCGTGCAATTTTTCCAACCACCTACAGTTCCTCAGCAAACGGAAATAGCGCCAATAGCGCCAATTCAATCGCCGTTCACACTCCCAGTCGCTACAGGTCCAATTACGCAGACGGCATCCATATCGCCACCGACTCAACCGCCGTTTACTCAGCCAGTCGCTACGGGTCCAATTACGCAGACGGCATCCATATCGCCACCGATCCAACTGCCGTTTACTCAGCCAGTCGCTATGGGTTCAATCACACAGACGGCATCTATATCGCCACCAACCCAACCGCCGTTTACTCAGCCAGTCGCTACGGGCTCAATTACGCAGACGGCATCCATAGCGCCGACCCAGCCATCGTTTATGCAGCCAGTCACCACGGGTCCGATTACGCAGACAGCACCTGTTCACTCCCACGAGCCAGTCCCAACTGCGCCGGTTGGGCTTATGGCAACTCAACCGTCGTTCACGCAGCCAGTCGCAGCGGGCCTAAACACGCAGACGGGAGCGCCAACTCAGCCATCGTTTATGCAGCCAGTCACCACAGGTCCGATTACGCAGACAGCACCTGTTCACTCCCACGAGCCAGTCCCAACTGCGCCGGTTGGGCTTATGGCAACTCAACCGTCGTTCACGCAGCCAGTTGCAGCGGGCCTAAACACACAAACGGGATCCATAGCGCCAACTCCACCCTTACCTACGTCTGTGCTGCCTTTGCCCCAATCCCAGCAGGCGGTCTCTATTCCGCTGATCCCCCCCGTTCCACCACATGCGGCAATACTGCCAGCCGATCCGGAGTCGTCACCAGGGAAAGAGAATGCACATCCCACGACAAAGGAAAAGCAGACCGGGGCCGGCAAGGAGGAGCAACCCAACGCAACCCAGAAGGGAAAACGAACTCGGACAAGCAAGGAGGCGCGGGGGGATGAGCCTCAAACGAAAAGACAAACGCGAGCGCGCAAGGAGGTAGATGAAGGGCCGATACAACAAGAGAAGCGAATCAAGAAGCTGCCCCCCCACCTTGTCGCCATTGGTTACGTCGCTCCATCCAAGGGGAAGAAGCAGAATAAGAAGAAATGATATGTTAGATTCTTCGCCGTATTCGTTTCCCGTTTGAATTTTTTGTGCTCCATTGCCCTAGTTAGTTGTTTGTACCTATCGTGACAATCATTATCCTTAGTTTGACAAATATGAGGGCGAGGGTGAGCCCCGATGGGTGGCGACGTTGTTTTGATCAACACAAGTCCCACATTTTGGTATGGAGTTGGCTTGATAATGAAAGCGCAAGTCCCACATTTTAATGTGTAGCAGTTGGCATTATCATGTAGTCGTACGTTAGATGTAATAGAAGAGGGAAGCTGCTATAGGTAAAGGGTATATAATAATTTGCGGGTACATTATAAAATACGCGGGGTGGAAGCAGCAGACATTATAATTCGCGGGGCGGGAGCGTAAAACAGCAGGTGGACGTTCGCGGGTGCATTATAATTCGCGGGGTGGGAGCATCAGCACGGTTGACTGCATTAAAATGTGGACGTTCGCGACGCGCGGGTACATTATAATTCGCGGGGCGGGAGCATCAGCACGTAAAATGTGGACGTTGGCGGGTGCATTATAATACGCAGGGTGGGAGCAGCAGTGAGGTCGCCTGCTTTAAAATGTGGACGTTCGCGGGTACATTATAATTCGTGGGGTGGGAGCATCAGCACGGTCGCCTGCATTAAAATGTGGACGTTGGCGGGTGCATTATAATTCGCGGGGTGGGGCGAGCAGTGAGGTCGCTTGCATTAAAATGTGGACGGTCGTGGGTGTATAATAATTCACAGTGTGGGCATTAAAATGCCGTCGCTCAAGGGGGAAAGGATCTGAGGTTCACATTATAATGTGGCCTGATGGTATATTATAATGTACGGAGGGGGGGTCTAGCATAGTGGTGTATTTTAATGCGTGTGTCTGGCAAATCCATGGCGTATTATTATCTGACTACATGGACACCTCTTTCGACTGCCTGGTCAGTGGTCTCATTTATCGGCCACACGTCAATAACGTCGATATTGCCACTGCTGGGTTGCTGACATCGACGAAGCCTGGAGTTTTGGCGTAAGACTAATCGCGCAGCACACTGGGGGGCGACGGTACAACCAGACGAGGAACTGGCAAGCTGCCGCGAGCGCGAACCTAGATAGCTTCATCGCTGCTGCGATAGGCGCAGGCGACGGCGGAGGGAATTCGAGGAGTTAGGTATACGGGTGGCAGGATACGAGTCGTAATTCGCCAAATGCTTCGCTCGGGGACCGACTTTGCACTCGTGCAAGGGAGGTACGTGGCTCACGAGATCGATTCATACAACCGTTGAAATCCTATATTCTGTGTTTCGCCATCCGTCCCATCCATGGGTCATGTAAGGCTCAATCGTACTTTATGGACCCAGACTTGAGGGATTATTGTAATTGATTATCGTCCGAAAAGTTTGATGCACAATCTCGTAGGCTATCTACAGTTGTCCCAACGCGATGCAGGAAGTAGTGAATTCAAACTCCCTATATTCTGTGCATGGTTCAGCAAGACTCTTCATGACAGCGAGACAAAAAACGCACCGGAGGGGACCCTTCTACCACGAAACAAACTCAAGAAGTCCACACCAGAAACCGAGAACAAATGCGCGACCGCGATTGAAAAGAACTGGCCGCCTGGCCCAATCTGAGGCGCAGTGCTTGCAATGTCACGATCGACGTGCGTGCACAATGAAGGACTGGACATCAGTTTCGCAAATAGCGTAGTAGTTGGTGGTCGTTGGGTGCTTCATTAGGCCTTCCATGATAGAGTCGTCGTATGTCGTTTCGAGGGCGGGAGACCGGCTGAAGCTGGCTAGAACCTTTGCAGGAGGAAGGAGAAGGAGAACTTGAGGAGAGTAGAATGTCAGACAGGGTATTAGATATCGCGGGATGTCCAGTTACTTATGCATCGCTTGAGTGTCAGACTTTGAGCTCTAGTGGTAGGACGACGGCACGGACGAGTAACGAGGAGGTTCGGGCCGGGGATATCCGGTGCCCTCACCAACACCCTCGTCTTCGCTTTCTGCCAACCCGGCACCAACGCGCTTCGAGGCGGCCCTCCCACGACATCTTTGCCAAATGTGATCTTCGCGGAACACACGAACGAGCAATCAGCGACGACATATCTTCCACGAATCGAAATCGAATTGGCTGATATCAACACCATAGCACCACATGCCCCGAGACTCTTGAGACCTGCGAACGACGAGCAGAGCTTGTTTGCGGCGATACGACAGGCATCATAGCGGAGTAAGACAAGTCCTGGTGCGATTCCACCCATGCGCTGCACCTCCGTCGAAGATCGCAACAACAGTGGAAGGATGGGCCGGTTCTATCTCTATCTACGGGATCCCGCTCGCCCTCTCTGCGTTGTCATCAGGCTATAGGCGCAGGAGACGTTCGTGTTGCGCCGCGTAACCGTTTTGATGGAGGAACAGGATGGCGCGACATGGACGCACCATCACCGACGCAAATTATATTAATCATCCTCCCTCTTTCCCTCATCATCATCCTCCGTAGCCCACTCAATTCCCCTTCCCAACAGCCCATATGCACCTCACCAGCGCCCAAGCGTCCAACCTGACTACCGCTGCAGTTTCTCTCCTCTGCCTAACTCACGTCTAACTCAAGCGCTCTGAGACGAGACGAGACAGTCTATCGCTGTACTTTCCAACATAGCGACTGGGTATGAACGCGCATATAGGGACGTCTACGGGAGTGCAAGGACCGCTATGGAGGAAAGCGGGAATGCCCGATTCATCATGTCCCCCTGCTTCACGTCTCTTTGTCTCCACGTGTCCTCAGGATCATCGGGACGTTGAACACTCATCAATCCGGTATCCCATATACCGCACGACGGCAGCCTGAGGTCCGGCTTGAACCTAGGAAATCCATTATAGGAGGTCGAGTCGGCTACGTTTGCGCTGTCAGAGAGCCCGATGTATTGTGCATCTACCAGTCAAGTGTTACGCATTTGTTACTGACACCCATTCCCTGCAGCGCTCGACCCTTTTCACTCAGTTTCGGCGCGTGTTTGTAGCTGGCTCAAGGAAGGTGATGCAGGCGCGAGGAACATATCTAAAAGCGTGGGGTATGCTTCTGATGCGCCTTTGAGGGGTAAGGAATGAGAGACGTGGTGGGTATCGAAGTGGGTATTGAGGGGCGAGTCAGACTCATACGCCATATCGCTGCTCGCGATGGGGAATGGGGAACGCACCATCTCCCCGTTGAACTCGCCTCTCCACCTCCCCATCGTCACTACTAGCACTACTGGCGCCTCCGGCTGCTCGCCAATCCGTAATGCTCCGCGCTGCCTGTCACGTCTCCTGCTCCCTCCTCCTACCCTTCAAGCCGTCGCTCCCTAGCATTGAATTGTTGGATATTCCGAGCCACCATCTGGGGATATATGAGCGCGCATATATGGACGTGTGCGTGAGTACGATCGCAGGCTTGCAGGAATGCGGGAATGCCCGAGTTCCCCTTCTTCACGTCTTTGTGGCTCCACGCCTCCTTAGGAACATCGGGACGCCGAACACTCAGCTTCTATCTGTTCGTCGCCGAATGGAGGAGCGCAAAGGGGGTGAAGAGGGAGAGGAAGTAGAGGAGAGGGCATGGAGTAGATGATGGCCCGGGAGAGAGAGAGGGGAAAGCGTCGGGATGCGGCGTACGAAGCAGATTCCGACATTTTTCGATTTCAAGGTCCGGTCTCATGCATGATGTCTGTCCATTTACCTCTTGATTCATCATTATTCCCATGTGATTATTCGAATGGACACTGCCCTCCTCCCTCGTACTTGAACTTACTCTGCATTTTATTCTTCGTTAGCCCGTTGTAATGTTCGGTTTCTTTCGCCTGCTAGCCATTACATCTCGTTGGTATTTACTCAAGTTCGAGAGTCCTCGCAACTCCATAGCTTTCTCTCACTATTTACATCTCATCACCATCTCTCGCTGATCTCAAGCCTTCGTCGACGTGCGCACAAAGTTGGCTCTCTGACATGACTCTTGGTCAGGAAACCCTTATCATCGGCGTAATAAACGGATTGGAGTCGACTCGGGCACATTTGCGCTGTCAGAATCAACTCCATTGTGCGTCTACCAGTCATGCCGTACTCGTTCCTTGATGACGTTCACGTGCAGCTCTACTATACCCCGCTGTGGCGAATTGCGGACCCGCACCGCAAATGCACGGTCATGCTCACATACTAGTTCGCTACCCGAAATACGACACCCTTTGGGCTATCTCCAAGTCACGATCTACTCGCATTGCCTCCCAACGTCTTCACCAAACTCGATCTTGACAGACCTTGCAAATACCAGCAGATTGACTCCCTATCACCTCTCCATCGTACCACCTGCAACTCAGGAGTTGCTCACGCGATTGGATTCTCCCAGCAACCCACACACTTCATGCCGGAAGTCTCTTGGTCACCAAGAGGGAAGACGTGCCGCCATCGGTGAGCGAGCTCTATTGCCTATGTCACCACCGTCTACCGCCCTTTCGACGCCAGTCCATAAACAGGTCATGATTCCTGCCGCTAGTGCCTGAGACGGCTGCTGCATCCAGCTCAAGCCCTTTCGGCTGTCCCAACGACCCGAAGGTCTCTGCACACCGCTTCACAACGAATTCCCTCATCGTCACTTCACAACACGGACCGCACGCGCAAGAGACCTTGGCCAAGAGTCGTCCCTCTGGAGTCTTCCTCCCTTTTTGGCACTCGCCCACGAACTCAACAGACAAAGGATTAATAGATGCATCGACCAAGCTTGAGAATTGCAGGGGAGATGCTTGATCACACGCGACGCTGGAAAGTCTGTCATCGTCATCTACGGTCACGATCGTCCCAGGAGGTGCACTGTCCTGATCCTCTGTCGTTGCAGTCAGCGTACACCACCCCTCTCGCTTTCTGCAGCCTAGCGTCTGATCATTGACGCAGCCTCGTGGACCGCTTACAAACGAGCTGCCTGTGCTCCAGCGTTTGGATGGGCAGCCGTGACTGGGGAGATTGTGCTGAGGCTTCGTCAGCGCAATACGCGGTGCTTTTGGTTCCTGCGCACTCAGGCGTCCAGAGGGCCACGGTCCATGGTTGGGCGAGTATGTCGAGCAGACACCTCTAGGCGTGTGCATGTTCCGACGCCCCGCTATGCAGTCCTGCACCCGAGCATCGCGTCAATCCGCATATATGTGTCTCATCCCAAAGGACTTGCCTTACAATTGTCCAGGCTTTCTCCAGGTTACCTCATTCTCACTGCAATGACGCGCTTCTCTCCCGGTGTTCCCTATTGGCCGAATCAACACATCGAGCTCCGTGACGAGGATCGCACTCTTGTTCATCCCGTAGGCGTAGAGATGCTGAGGCGTCGCTAGAAATGGGGCAATACTTCTTGGTCTTATGATCAGATGTCCAGCCTGGTAAACTCGCTCATGCCGTATGTATGCCTCACGGTAAATTGCCGCAAGCGAGTGCTGGAGGAAGAATGTTGAGCATACTTATTGCATAGTCATAGTTGCTATACAAAGTAGCAAACGCCCGATAGAGAGATGAAACTGGAGAAGGCATCGAAAGTACTGGAAAAATTTATGAAGACTGACCGCCTGAGGTGTGCGTATGTTCTAACACCCTCACAGCCGTTTGCTCGTTCGTTCCATATGAGGAGAAATCGAGACATGTAACTCGGAGTCGTATCTCACTATGGCCTAGGGCGCGGCGAGCGCTGCTGTGCCCACCGACCCACTCTTCCCTGAGACTCTGCTTGTTCAGGCAGAAGCGGAGTATGCCTGCGAGGCAGGGACCAGGCCGGACGAGGCGAACGAGGACCAACGGGGCTCGTCATGCGAACTAGATAGCAAACATATTAGCCACGAACAAAGAGCTAGTGACAGTAGGGGACTTTGAGCGAGGGGACGGATGAAAGCATACCCATGTCGATGTAGTATCACGACTCGTGAACTCGAGCTAGACGCTCAAGCCAAGAAATCACCAACTTGGGATCGAACCTAAGTGAAAGACAATCACTACCCTCGACTCAGGATGCGTACTATACGACTCACTATCTGTGGACGCAAGCCCGCTCTACACGCCGCTGCCAGCAGGGACAAAGAGATCCCACTTTTTACCCTGTTTTTAGACCTCAGCAAGTGGCGAGTCGTGAGGCTCGAGGGAGCCAGGGCTTGAGAGGTGTGAGAAACGAAGGAATCCGTCTGCGTAGATATGCTAGCCCCTTCGTACGCCATCGTTGGCAGAGGAGTGCTATCCGGCACTGTGAGATGGACGGCTGTGGACGGCCTCACCGCCTTCATGGACCGGACCATTGCGAGGACTAGTTGATAACCTGAATGGTGTTATTTCAACGTGTCTTAGAATATATGACACTACTCACAAAATTGACGAAGATATGGTGAGATGAGATGTCCGGGCCGGCGGCATCCGAACTTATGAAGCCAATCGATTCATCCCGCTAAACGGCGTCCCGACTTGCATGATCTCCGTCCCATAACGTTCTTCGCCACACTCGAACTTCACAAAACACACGAACAGCAAAAGATAGAATCGGATACTTGAGTCGCGCACGGCAACTGCTGCGGCGATCAACCTCTCAGACGTGGCCTTTCAACGTGCACCAACTATCGGGGAGGAGGGGAAGAAGTGGGCTCGCAGTACGATGTACCTTTGTCGGTGAGTTGTTCATAATCAGCGCTGTTGCGACCGCCTGACACGCTCTAGTGACTAGTCCCAACTGGTCTCGCCCGTAGCTCCGCTGTCTCATCGACACGAAACCCTGGTCTCTGCATACTGTTTGACATCGACAGTCCCCGCCCTCGATCCATTCAACGCGCACCGTGAACCTACCTCCCGCCGCGCTAGATTCAGTCGGTACGCATATAGCGGCTATACAATCTCCAGTGACCGTGGAACTCGCCCAACATCCTCATCCACCCCCACCGCCGTCAACACCCACACACCAGCGCATGTATCTCCGTTTGCTACCCTCAGCTCACGGCTGCTAAGCGATGCTACGGTTGTATGCGAGTGTCAATGCTATTGCTATTCCTCGCAGGTTCATCGATGTGGAAATGGGACCACGCCCAGGCCCACAACTTGGTAGTATCAAGTGGAAGCGAAGAGGATGAGGGAGGTGTTGCGAGTGCTAGGCATGCCTGCGGGATCTTGGAAGCTGAAGGCGTCGATAGGCGCTCCCATCTGGGTTTTCAAGGAGCAGAGAGCATACGTGGGTATGCGAGAATACGTCATGAAGAGCTCGAGGGAGACGAGTTCTAGCGCGGCCCTACTATCGCGCAACGACATCATGATGAGTGGCAGCAATGTCGTAAGGATGGGTCCCTGTCTCCGCGTCGCCCTCAATCTCTTTCATAACCGCGACGTTATGCTGGCCGTTTATATCGTGAAAGTTGAAGTATGACGCGTACTGACCACGACCATCCCCGCGCCAAAAGTCACTACCCCGCCGCCAGCTCTGGCTGCTAGTCGGGAGGCCCCCCCCTCTGCGCAGCTTCTCATCCATTACGCCTGTCTCTCTCTACCTCTACCTGAAGTCGCCATAGTACTCCTCGCCCCAGCATTACGGCACACGAATACTCAGAGTTTCGGAATCCCGACACCTGTGACTGAACGCGCTGAACTCACAAGCAATAACATGAGTGCGCATATAAGGGTATGTACGAACTGGTGAACGCCGGACGATTTCTCGCAGGTTCAACAATAGGAAAGTGAACGCCCTTTTAGGCCAACGTCTTGGTGGTGATTGGGAAGGTGTTGCGAGTGCAAGACACGAATATGTGGTTCTGGAAGCTGAGAGCGTCAATAGTAATTGTCGCTCCGTGCGCGCACTTCTAAGAGCGGAGAGCGTTGGCGTGTATCCAATGGGGCATCATATTGGAGGGCAACGTCGAGAGGATGGGTAACGGCTATCTACCCTTCTACGGGTCCAGCTCAACTCCGCTGCCGCCTCATCCTCCTCCCTGTGTTGCCCTAAGATCATAGTCGCGACATTGCGCTGGCTTTTGATATTGTGGAGGAAAAATAACGGCGTGGATACACCATCACCACGAACATCCCTCGTGCCAAAAATCATTACCCCGCCAACAGCTCTGGGCTGCTAGTCAAGAACTTCTCTCTGCGCAGTCTCCCATCACTTCTGCTCCTCTGCACCTCTGCCCGACGCCGCCATGCTCCTCCTTGCTCAAGCATTTCAGAACCCGGGTAGTTGAAACTTCGGAATTGCGACACCTGTTGCCGAACGTGCTGAACTCGCAAGCGATAACATGAATGCGCATATAAGGACGTTTATGGTAACACTGTGTCCACAGTAGAATCGTGCGCAACGGCATCGTCGACAAATGGGTGAATCGAGAGGTGGATGAAGAGGGGTGGACCGGGAGAGAAGGAGGAGAAGGAACTTCATGGTTTTTTTCCGCTATGATTTCAAGCTCCGATCTCTGTCAGTCGTGGAATCGGGACTCGTTGCTCGCAGGACAAGGAACATACGCCACGCACGAGGTCTAAATAACGCTCAGTACTCAAATATCAATACTTGAACAGCTCAAGGCCCAACACGTCGTATTGGAAGATACTTACCGGTTAAACAGCTTCTACATCTTCTGAGGTATGGTCCCTTTTCCTTCTTTCACTTCTTCCCAAGTCGTTCACACACTGTTCTCTTTTCTCCCCATGCCCTCGTGTCGTCTCTCCCACTCCCATTCGTCAGCTACCGTTTGCAGTCGTCTACCGCCGAGACATCCTTCCCATCCGTCGTGATCGCCATCGTCACTTTGCGGCGCCTTCTCAGCCTCAAATCGCCCGACGATAATATGCATTCGCGTCGTGCAGAGCGCACGAGTGTATAAGTCATCTTGAACTTCATCATCTACAAGAATACGAGGTCCAATGGCGCTTCAACGTATCCACGCGTACTCCTACGTCCTGCTAGCGTACGAGCGGCCGTAGGGCCCCAATTTCCCTCCCCTCCGTAGAAATGATAGCTAACGAACGTTTGAGTCAGATGTATAGTCCTCGTGGCTTCACGGCGGGGGCTTGGGGTGCCCACATGCGGATCAGCACACACCACTTAACGGCTTTAACATTGATATCGTGGCACCCATTCGGCCATCCGTAAATCAGGTATGCAATGTCTTCACAGTAATTATTATTGTTGCCATCGTGTTGAAATCACAGCCGTAAATTCATTGACCCGTTGGGATCAGAACTGCGGCAATACCGTCTGTTTTCTTTGTAGCATGACTTCACTCAAAGTTCGAGGGATGGGTGAAAAAAGCAGCGGTGTCTCGTGAGTTACGAGATTATATCATTAATCACTGCCTGCGACACTTTCTTTTGCTGCTCGGCCTGGGTTGACATTCATGCACCATGGGCTAAGCACAATCATGGACCGATGTATAGGCTCCAGTGAGATGCTAGTTGAAACGTTGACCGGTTGCACCAATGCGACTCGTTCTCGTCGCACCTTAGCGCGTTTATATTGCATATCTACGCCCCTGCTGGCAGAAACTGTACGAACATTGGTAAACCACTCGACTGTCTGGTACACCGCACGAATAGAAGGATATGACAAGGCACCAGTATATTGAGTGTATGTACGTAGATAAGATGTCAGATATTCGAGGGACAAGAGTAAGAACAACTCGTGCGCGGCGAGGCGTAGAAAATTACGAGGACTCGGTTTGTGTTACAGGGTGGCGAATTGCTTCCAGGCTCCCAGCGCGAATATCAATATGGCCTTGTTCGTTGTGTACGTGCTTTGACAGAGCGACCGGCTCTACGTACTGCCGCGGATGGCTTTGCCTCCTGAGGCGACTGAGATTGAGATTGAGCGAGTCTGCGAGCCAGAGCCCGAGCCAGTAGCAGAACTTGAGCTCGGGAGTGTTCAGTTGGCGAGTGTGGTGTAGATGAGGGCTTCATATGAACTACAATTTTGATTAGATGGGAGAAACATGTGGATGTGAATGGTTGAATACGAACTGGTGTTGGTGTTATTCCTCCCGCCATTATTACCGCCGTAGATAGGAGCCAAAAACGCGTCACCAGCGTTGTTGATGTAGTTGATGTTGACGGTACGATGTACGCTATTTATGGAGAAGGAATTCCCAGCAGAAACGGAATTCGCGCCGTCCAAGAATGGAAACTCGCATGGGGAGATGGAGATGGTGAGGTCGTCTTGTTGGGACGAATGCGAAGGGAATTTGAGGTGGAGGTTGTTGAGGGACTGGAAAGAGCCACAGGGCGAGGGAACAGTTGGGGGAATCGTGGTGGCACTCCAATCAACGCGTTCGATGGAGCTGAGGCTGACGGAGATGGACAGTGTGAGATAGCACGGTCGATCATGGCCTCGATGGCGTATCAGCTGCGTCTCGGGCTCAGGATATTCGTCTTTGAACTGGGAATAAGGAATCCGACGCCGAACAGCATTTTTCTGTGCTACATCGCAAATGAGACGATAATAGCCAAGCATCGTGAAAGCATACCAGACCAATGATCGCGACTGATTGTGTCAAGTGCACGCATGATGTCATCGATGACAGCGATGTCCGTATCCTCACCGGAGACGATTCGCAGCGTCAATCTCCTCTTTTAGCATGCAATCAGAGTGTGTCACAGAGCAAGAAATTCAACGCACCATATCCTCATGAAGAAACCGAGTGCAGTCCTCCTGACTCGCAAATTCAACACAGAAACGGACATCGATATTTGGGGGTGGATAGTACGATCGACTCTACGTCTATCAGCATTGGGCTCGCACACGCAGGAACATTTGTCCTCACCCAATATACCTTGAGCAAGACATTGGCTGTCCCAAGAGAAAATGTGTTCGTAACCGCGATATGAGCCACATCCTGTTCATCATACACCGCTCTTGAAGCTATCTCATCAGCGTCCTTCTCAGTTGCCAACATCTCATGGCGCATATATCCGTCCTCCAAATATTCTATTCCGAGGCCGCGCCCGAGGTATCTACGACATTTAGCTACAGCATCTGCCGACTAGGGACCACTCTGTACTCACTCACGTTCAGGCGGCATCCAATTCAACACTTTGGGGCAGTCTATCCTCGTATACAGCAGCTCTCTCTCTCCCCAAGGCAGTATATACAATGAAACCGTTGCTCCAGCACACCAGCTATCATCAAAGTCGACCCGAACACCTGTTTTTCATCGCACACTCGTCAAGTTCTACGCGAGTGAAACACAAACAAAATAACTACCTTCAATATAGAAGTGGTAAAACGTCCTTGAACCGATCCATTTGTCAGCCCTGCAACATCCAAGTCCTCGTACTCACAAAATATTGGTCACTTCGTCATGATGTACACCCATGCTTCAGGCTGGACACGAGCGGCGCCAGATGGAAACAGATAATGTAGATGCAGGAGAGCGGGAGGTGGTCGTTCGAGCGAAGGAGCTGTAGATTCGTAGCGCTCGCGTCTTGCTGGTTCGAGCATGCCTCACAGCAACCACGCCTCAAACATCTCACGAATGTCACCCTCTGCTCATCCAATCATACCGCATTATCATTGATAGAAGCTATTCGGAGCTGTAGAGATCACACCTTTCTGCTGGTCCATCGGGCGGACCAGCGCCCACCGCATACCACGCGCCCTCCCGAGCTCCTAGTCGTACGCTCGCGCTGAGTTCCTGCCCTGCTCTATAGCAATGCTTGGCGACTTATCCATGAGCATCGAGTCCCCCAACAAGGTCGCCTGCGTAAAGCGCCGATTCTGGACAAGCAACCAGCGCCTCGATACAGCATAGCCTTGTTCCTAACAAAGCATTAGGTCAACATACTGCCGTATTCTTAGCACAATGTCACACGAGGAGAATGGAAGACGTACCGTGCATGATAGATGGATATCGAAGGCTCGATAGGCGCTACGATACGCCCATGCTCCATGGTCTGTGGAGTTTCTCGGCATCGCCGATCCGGATGCCCAGAAAGCTCGAGGGCATCATCAGTGCCACGTTGTGAGATTACAGAAGGTCGTGACTCGTTGGACTGCGAATGCTGCAAATTCATCGACTAATTCATGGGCTGAGAATGCCACCCCCATTGCCTTACGGCGCCCCGTGCGGATACTAGACGGCGAATGAGGAAGCATAGACGTGAGAGAGGGAGTACTTACGAGGGCGGCGATTGGTAGTTATCTGCTGTCTGTCGGCAGCAACGCACTATGCTACAGGTTTGGGACAAACTAGGGGGAGACTCCAGTCGTCAGTGAAATCCCGGAACATATCCACTGAATCCCAATGAACGCAGAGGAATGGCTGAAGGGGAAGCACGAAGAGGTCGCCACGAGGAGCTGTAAACAGCGAGGTAGCTGGCGCAGAAGTGGTTCATGGACAGCTGGGAAAGGGTACGCGCTGTCGTGGATCGACGGAGGAGTTGAGGGGATGATTGGCTTGGAGAGGCGAGCGCTACGGAGTTGTAAGCCGCGGGCCATGATGAGGCGGCTGGATCTTGGGCAGCGGGTGGCGAATTTGGGACCACAAGGAAAGGGAGAAGATCGTCCTTGGAGAGCAAGGCGTCGCAAACTCACGGCGAGACTGAAGGAATTGCGGACTTGGGTGGTGATAAGGTGCGCAGGGTGCTTGATGGCGGTCGTCAACGTCCACGAGAGGTAGTGGTGAGAGATCGCTCAGTTTCTGCGTATTCAGAGGGAAGGAGCGGCGGGACAGCACTTGACCTGGGGAGAGCATAGAAGGGTGCTGACATAGCGAGTGGTAGAGGGGCACAGAATAAGGGGAAAGGAGAGTGTCCGGTGGAGAACTTACCTGATTCGACGTTGTCCTGATTTCTTGTTCTCCGGTAGAGCGCTCAGCTATGCACACGGTATGCGGCTTATCTCCCGATATGATTGCGTATTGTGACAGTCATTGCTAAACAAGTTCTCCAACCCCCGCAACGCCGTAGCACTCGCACACTTCTACGCGACCTCATGCCGATATGCGACCTGTTAGTCTCTCCCAAGCGTTGGCTCGAAGGTCTGCGGGTTCGCCAAGGTGAGCCTTGGCGGAGCATCACAGACAGGAATACCCGACTTGTTATCCTACTACGCCGTGCCTTGGATGCCAGTGCCAATGACTCGACTCCATGCCAAACGTCGGAAGAAGGGTAGGAGCGGATCCATTATCCGCGAGGGTGCAAGACATCAAAGAATTAGCGAAACATCAAGGAGAACCCGTAAACTTGTAAAACGCACACAATGGCCAACAAATAACTGTAGACGCAATTTTCAGGAATCGGGCACACATCGACAGCACATCCCTATCTTGGGCGCGACCGCACGCCTCAAGGATGGGATATGTGGCGATCGGCGAAGTCGAAGCGTGAATGAGAAGTTGGGATGTTGTGAAGCGTTCGTGGGAGAAGGTCGCGCCGTCGGGAGAGAACGGGGCTCGCGCAGCTCCCGCGAGGGTGAGAGGGCCTGAGCCTGGCCTGGGAGCTCATACCTAGAGCTTGAGGGCTGTTCACCCGAGCAGGGGAAGGGCGTCGAAGTCCCATACGACGGAAGCGCTCGAGGCGGGGAGATGAGAGTTGAGAGTACGATTAGTTGGGTTATGTAATCTACTGAGTTCCTACTTAGTATCCTAACTCATCGGGATGTCTATGTCTATTGGGCGTGAGATGTAAGCTCTACCGCATTACAGATGTGGACGTGAAGCCTGTAGTCCGAGAGGACGAAAGCCGCATGACGAGTCGACATCCAGGAAACATATTTGCCGTGTGATCCTGGGGAGTCGTGAAGCGGAGTCGACCCAAGAGCCTCGCCGCGCAACAGAAAACAGAACAACCACCTTCAAGATACACCCATACCCCGTACTTTTCCTTGCCTATCCACACTGACGCGCCATGATATCGATTCAGAATAGCAGTAGCGACAATCGCCAGTTGGTACGAAGACTGGTGGAGGCAAAAGACGGACGGTGGGTCAAAGTCAAAAGGATATCCCCCACACTAAAACACAGTCCTAACTCGCGCACAGCACTTAGGCCTCAGGCCTCCGGCAAACCACGCCACGGCCAAGCGCCAAGCACCCATTCTGATCACAGCTGCTAGTGGGTCCCCCAGGCCCAGCCGGCCTGTTCCCCATCCACCCACAGCCCATCCCTCCGCACTTGATCCAGTCGACCGACACGCAATCTCTCCTCTCGTCGTAATCGTAAAGAGCGAATCCACCCTCAACGCCAACGCCCTTCCCCTCATGTATTCCGTGGATTTGCATTTGCCGGTGAGAATCCATCGAGCCTCGCCGCCCAAGAAGCATCACGCGGCGATGACGAGGTGATATCTTCACATAGGACGGCTTTTCATACACGTTCATAGGTATTTGCAGCCATAGCCATAGACACACCCATGCCCCTTCGCGCGTGGGTAACCCATCCCCACCAGGCGCCGACGAGGAGATGGCATCTGAGACAGCAGCGACGTCTCTTCCGAGACGAGACATTGTGTCCGACCGGACGGAGGCGCCACGAGGACTCGCATGTCCGCGATGAATCATAGTGTGTCGAGTCAAAATGCAATTGCAATACGCAGATGGGCGACTGAGGACAGGAGAATTGCGAAGCCCGCTCCATCCTGGGTGGCGCGTGCCTGATGCGGACCATGGGACAGGACCCGATACGAGGGGGCGTCGCTGCGTCGCTAAGCGTCTCGTAGTTGGTCGATGGCGAGCCCCTTGCGACCCAGACATCCCTGGAAGGGTGAAGCGAGGATGCTGATCTGGTGATAAGGAGGATATGTACGCACCGCACGGACGTACGAACGGAGGATGGAAGATAGAAATGGGGTGAACTTTGACTCCACTTGTGTACGCGATAAAGGGATGGGAGTGTCACGAATGGCGCGACCCTCTTCATCGCCCTTGTCCTTCATCGCCGCGAGGGCTAAGCTGACTGAAGGTTCGTCAGGTTCTCAGATTCACATCCAAGCAGAAAACGGCGCTGCACGCACTCTAGTTAGTTGTTGGACGTCTAGTCTACCTGGAGTCACCGCGCCTTGCCTGCTCTTGTAGGCGCAAAGGGGAATTCGCGGTGTGAATGCGAGGACTGGCGGCTTGGGAGGCTGATGCCGTCGCTTTCCATGGCCGAACGGGCATGTTCATTCCCACCCCGTCTTCGACATCATCATCACCGTCGCAAACCCCCAACTTCCCTGCATACGTCCGCGCGAATCCGCGACACACGCAAACACTCCTCTGCGACGAGGCTGCGTGGTCCACTGTAGACTCACGATGCCGAAAGTACGCGCGACGGGTTCTGAGGCCGGGGCTACGACGCGGGGCCAAGCGTTCAACGTTCAACGTTCAGCGTTCAGCGTTCAAACGTTCGAGACTCAAGGCTCAAGGCTCAACGACCCTGTTCACGCACCATGAATGCCTCTTCGTCGTCGACTACTTCACTACTTCGGCTCCTCGAAATGCAGCCCCGATTCCCGCTCGCATACTCATACTCTCTTCCCTCCTCCATCGTGCGCCGTGCGCCGTGAATCGCGAATCGCCACTCATGCCACCCATGCGGCCCTGGAGGCCTGAGGCGCGCGGGTGCCGTTCGCAACATGAGAGCGATGCGCCGCCAATGTGCACCGGATCTCGGATCCCTGCGGAGAGCGTCCGCATCTGAGACCGTCAACCGTCAACCGTCCATCGGGAATCGCGTGCGTGCGCTCCGAACGCGAAGTGCCGGAGGCTCCGCAAAGATAAAAGATAAAAGATATGGATACGAGCCTCGTCGCGCTATGTATCCGCCTGAACAGGTGACGTCGACCATCGTTGCCCACTGATCATATGTGTGTATGTGTCATGTTGTAGAAATCGCCGGTGCGTATGGAATACGGCGCAGAAAGGAAGGCAGACGGGTTCCAATACCGCGCCATCGGCGGGGGAACACCAAGTTTTGAGCCTCTAGACCGAGGGTACGATTGAAGTGGCGAGAAGCGGGAGATCCTATCCGCGTGTTGCAGAGAAGCTAGCGAACGATCGTTGGTTACTCGATTATCGACGATGCAGATAGCCCACGGCTTGTCAAACGATGGCCAGGCGAGTCTATCAGCGAGAAACCGAGATCCCGGGGGCATGTTGGATATTCTGTGTGGAGGGATGCCCAGGAGTGTACCTCCGTCGGTGGGCGCGGTTCTACTTCACTCACTATATCTAGATAAAATTCGTCGCCCACAGGAATGCTTCGCGATGAGGCGGCAGATGCTGTGCTGTCTATTGTTTCGCAGCACAAGTACCCGCTATATCGCTACTCGTTACACTGAACAAAGTGCAGAACAATCCGAACTTGTATATTGACTTTTCCTATATAAACCCCAGAGGAAGCGGTCAGAAGCGCATACCCAATCGATCTGAAATTACCACCACCTACCCCACGCAACAGCCGGGCGCTGGCACCTGCCGTTCATCAACAACAGGCAGGCGTATTTTGATTTTTGATTTACTACGAACCTCGATTCACTCAAGCGCTCCAGCGCTCCAGAGTTGTATAGCGTGCCTATCAGTAGTGCATGGGTCAGACCGCATCTCGAGGGAAGGGGTAACGCACCTAGCGATCATTGATCATTGAGCACATCCTATTCCCAGTACCTCGATGCTCGCTGCAGACATTTAATAATATCTTGTTGCCGGTATTTTCGCGCAACAACGGGCGTGTGCGCGGCTCTGAGTCCGCAGGAGGGGACTGCAGGGATACACTGAAGTGTATGGGGACTCGTTGGATTCAGGTGATTAGGGCGGCAACATCCGATAGCGCCCATGCCTTCCGTCAGCTACAGTACATAGCAAAACCGACCACCATTTCGCGTCAACTATGCCTTTGCCTTGAACAACCCGGTTCGTGAAAGTTGAGCTTGATGGAACACGAATCATCAGCGCTCAGCTCCAAGGCTCGGATCGGTTCCTCAACCTCTCCTGCCAAGAATCGTCGTGTCGACATTCAACATCTCAACGCGCTCGCGCACTAGTAACTTCAAAAGTTCACTGTGTCGTGCCTGTGATCTGTTGTAGGGGAAGAGGAATCTGTTGTAGGGGAAGAGGAAGATGGGAAGTCGTGTGGAACGATTTGCGGTCCTCGGTGAGGGCGTCATCCCATGCTCATTTTAGTTCCTAACACTCTCTTACAGCCTCGAAAGCTTCAAGCCCCGGTGTCGGTTCTGGCAGTCCTCCATGCACAGGTGATGATGTTCAAAGCGTTGCGTACTCCACCCCGTAACCTTGCCAGCTCAAGCCAGTCTTCCCCAGCTCGTTTCATCACTCACAGCCGAGCATGCCCAGCTTGGGACTGAGGGGGCGAAGGCGTGCATAACTGAGAGTATGAAGACGATGTAAAAGAATGCGGACGCCTCGTTTCTCGAACGTCCCATTCTCCATGTATCCGCGTCCCTGCCGAGCGAAAGCATTGAAGGCTGTCTTCCTGTCTCTCTCATCGTTTCCCGAGGCGAGGCGAGTTCCGAAGCGAGTTCCGAAGAAGGGGAGGGAGGAAGAAATAAGAAAGAGCCAGGGCGGGGGAACACTGGCGCTGCGGCACACGGAACGGCCCGATTTTTTGCTGATTTCAAGGTCCGGTCACTATCCCCTCCATTTACCTCTTGGTTCGCGATCATCCCCATGGGTCCTATGTCTGCACGAAGCGGACCTTTTCTATTTTCTACGGTTCTTCGAATACGCATACGCACTATTGCCTGCTTGACACTACTCGCTTTGTCGGGGTTTTTGCCATGTCGCGGGTTCTCTAGCACTCAACGTCCCTAGGCCGCGGTACGTCTCCTCAAGCCGTGCCCTTCGGCTCTAGTCTCCGGATACGCATACGGAGTGGATATCGTGAGTGTTCGGCGTACTTGAATAATGTGGATTCTGGACTGACGGCGTTTTGAACTGTTGGCAGACGGTTCTTTCAACATCTCGGTCATACCTACGGACAGCAGGGTTGCGGGCCTGATTTGGACGTCACCCGCGAATCCCGCCGCTTCAGCGCATCCAGCTTCAACTCCACGCACGCCGAGCTTGGCCTCAAACCAGCAAACGCAACGTCCATCTCCATTCCAGGTACTCTAAATCTCGGGCGATTCCATCGATCGTATCAAGTATCGTACCGGTGGATTCGTCATACCATCCCTCCCCCCCTCTCCCCCACACCCACACCCACACGCACTTTCGACGACGGTCTCGTGCGCAGTTGATAATCCCTGTCGTTACTTCTTCGTGGCTACTGCTTCGTCCAGCTCAAGCCCCGTTTCATTGTCCCCACGACGGTATGCTCTGGGTGTCTCAGCAACATCACTCGTCGCCTCTTCCCGCAGCACTGACTCCACGTGCACTGCGAATTCCCACCTCTCCCCCTCTCTCGGGCTCGCCGCAACTCTGATGCTGTCGGCAACCACCCAGGTCCATCCTATCGTTCTTGGACCGTGGAACGCAACATGTCAGTATGTCGAGCGGCAGCTATCTCGGAACATGGGACACCCATTTCTCACTGGGCGCCTCTAGACGTGGGGGGCAGCGACGTCCCTGCTACTCGATCCTTTTCTTTCTCCTCGCGTCGCGCCAATGCGTGTCTGTATGCCCCAGCCCCACATGTCTGATCTCCCACTTGTGGACATGCGCAGAGCGCCGTGTGCGCAGCGCAGCGACCGACTTCTCTCTGGTGTTCCCTGTTCTCCGAGCCTACACCGACTTTCGCAATGGTGAACACATCCTATTCCCCCACAAATAGACGCGGAGGTGTAGAGGAGCTGTCCTAACTATTTGCTGCTATACAAAGTGGAAGACGCGTGATAGAGAGGGAACACGAGGAACTGGATAACGGATCGAACTACTGGGAGAATTTAAGAAGACTGGCCGCCTGAGGTATGTGTATATTCTAACAGCCTCGCAGCTGTTTGTTCGAGGCGTATAACTCTGCATTCGTATTTCAATATGGCCTAGGACGGTGCGATTGCTGCTGTACCCAGCGACTGACTCCTTCCTGTGATTCTGCTTGTTATTGCAGGAGTGGGGTATGCCTATGAGGCAGGGACCAGGCCGAACGAGGCGAACGAGATCCAACAGGGCTCGATATGCGAACTGGGTAGCAAATTAATTAGCGATGAGCTACGTCTCTCGAGTGATTATGAAATACACACAGGTGTTGACATTGTTCCTTCCTCCGACGTTTCCGCCGTGGATAGCACCGAAATAGCTATCACCAGAGATGATGTTGATGTTGAAGCTCACGCTATGGAGACCAGCGAGATTAACGTGGACGTTGCGATGCCCGCTTTTGATTGTTATCGAATTACCCTGCGCGACGGAGTTCGTGGCGGTAAGACCGTGAATCCCGGTTGCTTCTACTGTGAAGCTGAGAGAGTCCGTATCGTTGTGAAAGGTACGATCATGGTCAGGGCAATCGTGCGGCGCGGACGACGGGAAATTGAAGTGGATGTTGTTGAGAGAGTGGAATGGGCTCGACCATGATGGAAAGTTTGCGGGGACGGTGCTTCCACAGTCAATGACACTGACACAGAAGCTCGTGATAGAGAGGTGTAGTGTGAGGTAGCATGGGCGATCGTGGCGCCGATTGGGACCTCGATGACGTACCAGCTGCGTCTCCGGCTGATATTCGTCAATGAACTGGGAATAAGGAATACCACGCCGAGCAGCGTTCATCTCTGCTACATCGCAAATGAGACGATCATAGCCTCAGATCGATCATCGTGAAAGCATACCAGACCCATGCTTGTCAATGATCGGGACAACAGCACGCATGATGTCACCGATGACACCAACGTCCGTATCCACGGCAGGGAGGTATTGCTCCTTCAATTTCCTCTTTTTGCATGCAGTCAGAGTCGGATGTTGAGCAAGACACTCGATGGACGCACCATATTCTCATGAAGAAAGCGAGTGCACTCCTCCGAATTCGCAAATTCAACAATGAGACTGACATTGAAAGGTATAGGCACATTGTAATATCGCATCTACCTCCATCACCATTAGCCTCGCACATGCAAGAACCCTTGTCCTCACCCGTTTAACCTCGAGCCAGACAATGCTTGTTCCAACAGACAATGTTCGTGTAACCGCGATATGAGCCATATCCAGTTCGTCGTATATCGCTTGTAAAGCAATCTCATCAGCTTCTTCTTCAGTTGCCAACACCTCCCGGCGCATATATCCGTCCTCCAAATATTCTATTTCGAGGCCCTTCCTGAGGTATCTACGACATTTAGCTGCAGCATCTGCCGACTAGGGACCACACTCTGTACTCACTCAGGTTCAGGCGGCATCCAATTCAACACTTTGGGGCAGTCTATCCTCGTATACAGCAGCTCTCTCACTCCCCGAAAATGCTGTGTATACAATGAAACTGTTGCTCCAGCACACCAGCTATCATCAAAGTCGACCCGAACACCTGTTTTTCGTCGCACACTCGTCAAGTTCTACGCGAGTGAAACACAAACAAAATAACTACCTTCAATATAGAAGTAGTAATTTGACCTTGAACCGACCCATTTGTCAGCCCTGCAACGTCCAAGTCCTCGTACTCACAAAATACCGGTCGCTCTGTCATAATGTACACGCATGCTTCAGGCTGGACACGAGCGGCGCCAGATGGAAACAGATGATGTAGATGCAGGAGAGCGGGAGGTGGTCGTTCGAGCGAAGGAGCTGTAGATTCGTAGCGCTCGCATCTTGCTGGTTCGAGCATGCCTCACAGCAACCACGCCTCAAACATCTCACGAATGTCACCCTCTCCTCATCCAATCATACCGCATTATCATTGATGGAAGCTATTCAGAGCTGTAGAGATCACACCTTTCGGCCGGTCCATCGGGCGGACCACCGCCAACCATACACCGCGCCCCCTCCCAATGTACACTTGCGCCGAGGTCGTGCCCACTGCTCTCCAGCAGTTTCATGGCGAGTTATCCATCCGTGAATACCCAGTAAATCAGCGAGCGGGAAGGCGCCAATCATGGACAGGCAGGCCAACGGCCTCGAGGCAACATGGCTTCTCTCCCAACAAGGCAAAAGACCATGAGGTATGGGCGCTACAGTACAGTCATGGGCTGTAGAATCTCTCGGCGCCGCCGATCCGAATGCTTCGCTCGAGCGAAAGGTCTGAAGCTTTGGCGGTGCCACGACGAGGTATCGTGAGGACAGTGGACTGCAAATGATACTGGTTCATGGGAGCGTGCGGCGTAAATGAGAGGGGACGTAACCGTGAAAGAGGGTGTGGGTTCACTGTCGGTTGGCGCTTGTGTAGTGGACTCGGGGGAGGATAGGAGAGAGGTTCCTCGGTCGTATATCCGAGACTGTATCTATGGATTGGGTCCAATCGAACAGGAGGAGTCATTAAAGCAACGGCACGACGTAGGGACTGCGAAGAGTGTGCAATGGCTGGCTGGTGCGAAAGTGGTACATTGACAGTGGGAGGGGGGAGGCGTTCCAGAGGGGCAAGGACACGCACCCCCGGAGGAGTTCGACTTCGAGTTTGAGTTTGAGGGATTGCTGAGTGGCGAAAACGAGCGACGGGACTGTATTTCAAGCCGCGACCCACGCAAATGGTTGAGTCGAAAGGATACGTGGACAGCGTTCGCGGGAGTGGTGTGGTTGAGTGACAAAGATATGCCGCCGCGGAACGACGGAGGAGCTGCGGTAATTGCTATCGCCGAGTCGAGAAGACGGCGGACGAGCCACGCAAACGATTGAGGCGATGAGACGCTCGTAGCGCCATGTGCAACCCCCAAGTGTCAGCGAGGCAGGACGGATCATCCGCTCGCCACGGCGGGTCGCGTTGGAGCAGAACAGCTAGGCGTCTCCTACCCGCTGCTCTACTACGCAGTATCTTGGATGTCTTTTCAAAAATGTTGCTTCTTGCCTAATTTCGGAGGAAGGGTGAGTGGATCCGTCACCGACGACGACACGACTTTGACTTTGACCTGAATACAACGAGAATATGGTGAGGCGTCTTCGAGGGTAGCGCCGCCGCGGATCGACTGAGGAGTTTGGGTGTATCATGGGTCGAGGAGCGAGCGAAGTTACGGCGTGTGGGATCAGGGCGAGACGAACGTAGTATGGTCGCACTTTGAGCGGGGGGATTTACACTGGTTGCGGAGTCGACAGGATATTCACACCTCGGGAATCATGGACTCAACCTAGACACTCGATGAAGCTAAAGAACTCGCCAACTCGAGAACCAAGCCTAAGAAGAAGACAGTCACTGCTCCCAACTCTCCGTGGATTCACGCAGCGGGGACAAAGAGAGATCTCAGTATTAGAAGTCTCTCTATCGCGTTCCAAAGTATGCGTAGATATGTTCGCCACTTCGTTAGTCGTTGTTAATCGTTGGTAGAGCTAAGGACGTACAGTACTGAATGCTATCCGGCACTACTAGAATGAGATTCGGGCTGATTATCTCCATGGCTCTTGCCTCACACAGAAGTTAGCTAGTATGGTGACTGAGAGCCGGATTCTGTTATTTCGACGTGTCTCTGAAGAATAAAAATACTCACAAAGCTGTGAGTCCGTGGTGGTTCGTTTTGTGATGGGATGAGGATGTCCTGCTCCGGGCCGGCGATATCCGAAGCTATGTGCTCGTCCCGCTGTTAACGTAACAATCATTCAACGTCAACTTGCCTCGGTCCTCGACAGAGGCGAACATCACGGAATACGCGAACAACGAAAGATGGAATCGAGACTTGAATGTTGAACCACGTATGTTCTAGCTCGCAATTTCAGCCGTACCACCTAAAACTCAGGACGCGCGTGCTCGAAAACGTCATTTCAAAGTGCTTTAAACACTTAGTACAGGAATCCTCTTCAGGAAGGGGGGAAGAGGGGTACAATGGTGTACCTTTGTCAGTGAGTTGCTCGTAGTCAGACTTTCGCGACCGCCTGAAACCCTTTAGTGACTAGTCCTACTCTTTCGACACTGGTCTCGCGTGTAGCCGGTCACTAGTCACTAGTCATGTTTGGCGTTAGCTATACTCTGCGACGGTGATACTACACCCTTTTCTCTGTCTCAATAACACGAACCCTGATCTAAGCACCGTTTGACAGACATCCCCCGTCGTCATTTCCCTCGATCTACGCCACGCGCACTGCGACTTCTCACTTATCCTAGACGCTGGTTGTCGTCGGTACGCACCTTGCGGCTGCATCCTCCATCTCAGCCCGTGAAACTCGACCAACGTCCACCTCTACGCCCGCGCCCCATGACGACCTCTTCTCATCCCACACCATCCTTTTCTACGCCATCTCGCTGCTGCTGCTATTACTCGCAGGTTCATCAACTTGGAATCAGGCCCACGACTTGGTGGTAGCAAGGGGAAGATGGGAAGGCGTCGTGCGTGCGGGGCACACCTGTGGAATCTTGGCAGCAGACATCCCCGCTATCATCCCCCTCAATGGACGCCACGCACCGTGACTTCCCGCCTACCCATCCTCCCGCTCAGCCCATGGACCTCGGCCAACATCCACCCGACGCCCTCTTCTCATCCCAGGGCCACATACATCTCCAGAGCATATACCATCCTTTCATTTTATTCGCCCTCTCTCGCTGCCGCTGAACGGCACTACCCACGACCGACGGATTCTCAAGAGCTGACAGTGAGGTGGCGGCGGTCGCTCCGCAGCACATGTGCGTCTTTCCAGACGCAGAGCGCGCCAGCGGGTACCCAAGGAGGAGGCGACATAAAAAGAGGGAGATGATGGCTGGCGCGGTGCTACTCACCAGGATGGGTCGCTTTTGTATGTATACCCTGGCCCCAGCTCGATTTTTCAGCTGGCCGAATCCTCTCTCCGCAGCGGCATCATGCTATGATCGCAGGCGCCTACGACGTTCGCGCTGCGTCACCGTTTTGACGGAGAATAAGGATGGCGTGGACGTCAAAGTCACCCTCGCATCGTCCCAGATTTCATGACTGGCCCCTCCAGCCGCTAGCCTCACATTCTCCGCGCTACATGACGAGTCTCCCGCCCCTCGCTCCCTCGCTGCCGCTCCTGGAAGTTGGAAACAGCTTTTCTCCACGCAACAGCCATTGATCGAATACCCATGTGCGACTTTGGAATGATCCTACCACTGGACGTGCTGAACCAGCGACTTTGGGTATGATCGCGTATACGTACAAGGAATACGGGAACATCCAAGTCATCATGTCCCCCTGCTCCACGTGTCTCTCTCCACGTCTCCATGTGTCCTTGGCATCATCGAAACAACGCAACCTCGGCTTCTAGATGTCTTCAACATTACCCCACGGGCACTATGTCTCACTACGTCTCCCTCCACTCTACCCTGCTTCGCCTCCTTGATCGGCTCCCTTCTCCGCCAGTAGAGCTCTCCGATGTCACAGTCAATGCCCCCTTACCCAATATCATCAGTCCGCCACCCACAAGCACATGGGGAGGCATGGGTACTATCCCCACGTCAGACTCTGTGTTTGGCAAGGGTGAGAGGAATCGCGATCCTACTGCGTTCGTGGGCCTTCAGTACTCAATGCCTCAGCTACACGACTCACAAGCCCCTCGTATCTACCGACGTAGCTACGGGGGCAGGCCCGACTCCAGCGGCGTCACATTCAAGATGCGGCGCTCAGCTCGACTTCGACGCTGCCAGGGGCTCTGCGCGGCAATAACGGGGCACATGTCTCACTTCGCCTTGATGATTTGGTGATAGAGAAGGAGAAGGACACCACGAACGCACCATCCTCGTGCCGAATTAATCGTGCCACCGCTCCCAATGAGGCCTCAAGGTGGCCGGCCACCCCATACGGAACGATGGGATACGAGAACAGTGAAGGGATTCGGCGACCTCTTCTGCGCGCGTCCGTTTCTCCATCGAACCAAGGCATTGAACGCTCTCTGCCTCTCTCTCTCTCTCTCTCTCTCTCATTGTTCCCGAGGCGAGGCGAGGCGAGGCAAGTTCCGAAGAAGGGGAGTTCTGAAGAAGGGGAGGGAAGGGGAAATGAGAATGAGCCAAGGCGAGGGAACACTGGCACTGCGGCACACGGAACGGCCCGATTTTTTCTTGCTGATTTTAAAGTCCGGCCACTATCCCCCCTCCATTTACCTCTTGGTTCGCGATCATCACATGTCTGCTCGGAGTGGACCTTTTCTATTTTCTATGATTCTTCGAATACGCATATGCACTATTGCCTGCTTGAAGTTACTCGAGTTATCGGGGTCATCGCCATGTTGCGGGTTCTCTAGCATTCAACGTCCCTAGACCGCAGTACATCTCCTCAAGCCGTGCCCTCCGGCTCTAGTCTATGGGTACGGATACGGATACGGAGGGGATATCGTGAGTGTTCGGCGTACTTAAATAATGTGGATTCTGGACTGACGGCGTTTTGGACTGCTGGCAGACGGTTCTTTCAAGATCTCGGGCATACCTACGAACAGCAGGGTAGCGGGCCTGATTTGGACGTCACCCGCGAATCCCGCCGCTTCATCCGTGCCCAGCTTTAACTCCACGCACGCCGAGTTTGGCCTCAACCAGCAAACGCAGCGTCCATCTCCATTCCGGGTACTCTACATCTGGGGCTATTTCGTCGCTCGTATCAAGTATTGCGCCGGTGGATTCGTCATGCCAACACTTCCCCCCCCCCACACAGACTTTTGATGACGGTCTTGCATGCAGTTGATAATCCCTGTCGTTACTTCTTCGTAGCTACTGCTGCGCCCAGTTCCAGCCCCGTTTCATTGTCCCCACGTGGTCTGGGTGTCTGAGCAACATCCCTAGTTGCCTCTTCCCGCAGCGCTGACTCCACGTGCACTGCGAATTCCCGCCTCTCCCCCGCCCTCTCTGGTTCGCCGCAACTCTGATACTGTCGGCAACCACCCAGGTCCATCTTATCGTTCTCAGACCGTGGAAGGCAACATGGCAGTATGTCGAGCGGCAGCTATCTCGGAACATGGGACACACAATTCTCACTGGGCGCCTCTAGACGTGGGGGGCAGCGACGTCCCTGCTACTCGATCCTTTTCTTTCTCCTCGTGTCACGTCAGTGCGTGTCTGCATGCCCCAGTCAACATACAGCCGTATTCTTAGCGAGACATCACACAAGTAGAATGGAAGACGTACCGTGTGTGATGGATGGTTATCGATTTCTCAATAGGTGCTGCGATATGCTCATGGCCAATGAGCTGCAGAACCGCGCCGACGATCCGAAGGCTTGGACGTCAAAGCTTTGAAGGTCGAGAATAGGATCTTGGGTGTCGGCGGTGTCACAATGGGAGAATGCGAGCAGGAGTTGGATTGTAGTCGAGGCCGTAATCACTGCTCTCTAGCAATTCCTGGTAGACTATCCGCGAGAATCCTTCCTCCCCCACGCCCAACCAGCGGTAGCGCCCAAAGCTCACAGCAGCGTCACTTACGAGCATCGACAAGCATCCGTTGCCTCACGGCGGAAAGTGGACGTGTGGTGCGTGAAAATGAATATCGAAGCCTCGATAGGCGCGAAGACTTATTGATGAACCAAGGGCTGTATGACCTCTCGGCATCGATCCGAACTTTGAAGGCCAGGCGTCAACCCCCGAGTAGGCGGGCTTGGGCTTGGGGAGTGTGACGGCGAGGCATCGCCAGCGTTCAGTAGAATTCACGATCTCAGGATCGAGGGCCTCTTACCATCCCATTACGGCGCGCCGAAATTGCGGAGGATACCAAGTAGCTAGGGCAAGTGCACGACGAAGTACAGGTATGCGGTTTGGTACAGTTGTTCGCCTGCGTATGAGTGTGGAGAGAGTCGCAGGAGACGTAGACGCGCCCAGGGTACACGATTGGTTGGCAGTTGGCGGTTGGATCGTAGAGGGTAGAGGCGGTGTCGTACATGTGCGTGATAAACGAGGGGAGGTGGATTGAGAGAGTACCTCAAGGCGTAGTTGGGAGATGTGGAGTATCGACTGCATACAAATGAACGGCGCAGCGCTCAAGAGGGAGCACAAAGGGTTGCTAGTGCCGAGCTGGTTAGCGTAAATGTGGTATGTGGGGGTCGGGAGGGGAGAGGCGTTGGAGCTTGAAGAGTGGGGAGGACCTGCCGCCGCAAACTGACGGAGGAGGTGGGGTGGTCCCTAAATCGCGGGAACGAGCGACGGTACTGAATCTCAAGCCGCGATCTATGCAAACGATGGAGTCGAGAAGATACATTGAGAGCGGGAGTGCAGAGTCGTTGAGTGGCGAAGACACGCCGCCGCGGAACGACGGAGAAGCTCCGTTGATTACGATTTCTGAGTTGAAGAGACGGCTGCCCAACCACGCAAACGATCGAGCCTGTGACACAGCTCAATCTGGGATGGCGGGTGCGAAACTTTCATCGTCGCAAATAGACATGATGTACCGCAGACTAGTGAATAAGACGGGCCGCGAAGGAAGTGTTGGACGGAGGTACCACACGTTCACGCCCATCAGCAGGCGGGAAGTGAGAATATCGATCTGCCTCTACGTATCCCAAGGCGGGAGGCAGTAGGACATCTTGTAAAGAGCGATTGTTCGTATGCCGCCTGCGGGAGATGGGCGAGCTAAGGAACTTATGGAGAGATGACAAAGTGTTTGGTGGAAAGCGCGTACTTGTCAATGCTTGTCCGATACGTGATTCCCCAGCACAGCGCGCACAGCAACACACGGGTATTGTGCAAAAGGCGCGTCACGATAGTCGTCATGAGGTCAGCGTAGGTGGGTCTCGGTAGCAAGGCGCAACACTTCATAGATATTTGAAGTTCGAGCAAGCGAGGGAGGAATCGTCTATTCAATGGTTCCGCGAGCATTCCCGGGTTCACAGGAGTATCCGATTCCGCTCGCCAACTCCAAATTCAACTGCTACCACGGTCCACCACATGCACAGCAGATGTGTGCTTTGAGTTGACCCAAGTGGCACGAACACCAGGTCGAAGCGACCTGAAGACTGAAACGGGTATTCAGCTGCGCAGCCACCCTCGTTCTGAATCTGTGGATACGTTTTCGAATCCATTCGAAGTGTCGGTAGACCCAAAGATGACGAAACGGTGAAGCGAAGTCGGGTGAATTGCCCTTGGACTTAACAAGCAATGGTCGACAACCGATCGTAAAAATATGCAACTGCCTGGTGGCGTAAGGTCACCTGCAGGTTGATGATGAACGCAGCTGCCAACATGGTTGAGAGATACGACTCCCGCCATCTTTTCTCTACTCGAACGCCTCTCTACCCGGCGTTGTCAGACCTCAGCAAATGGCGAGGTGTGAGGTTCAGAGGAGCATATAAGTGAAAGTAGCCGTCTGCGTAGGTAGGTTCGCCTGCTCGTTAGCCATCGTTAGTCGTTGGCAGAGCTGAGGACGTGCTGAGTGATAGGTGGCACTGTGAGAGTGGTCGACCCATGGAGCGGGTTGAACCGTTGAAAGGACTAGGTGAGAATCTAAATTCTGTGATTTTAACGCGTCTTTGAAGAAGAGATGAAAGTACTCACAAATTTGAGGAAGTCGGGTCCATCGGTTATTCGTTTTACGATGAGACGGGAGATGGGATGTCCGGGCCGGCGATGTCCGAAGCTACGGAGCCAAACGACTGTCCCTCCCAATGAACTCACCCCCTCGTATCATCTACATCCCGCAGCGTTGAGGCCACACCGGAACTCACGGAACGCGCGAACGATGGAATCGAAGACTTGAGTGTGAGCACTTGAGTCCCATACCAATATCTGTGCTGTACAACCCGAAACTCAAAAACCAGCAACCTCTCGGATCTCTTCAATGTACCACAGAAGTATCTTGCTCGGGGAGGGGGAAGGAGGGGGGTCATGGAATGGTGTACCTTCGTTGGTGAGTTTTATTACACCGACACTTTTTCACCACTTGGCTCTCATAAGCGTCGCGAACTTCTGACATCGCTTTCGTACATAGCCGACAGTATTTGTCGCTCTACTCCGGGGCCGCAATGGCTGATGCATCCAGCCTCAGTCATTCCCGCTGTCTCAACAACACGAAGCCGGGTCTACGTACCATTTGACAGACATCCCTGTTGTCATTTCCCTCAATCCACGCCACGCGCACCGCGACTTCTCACCTATCCACCAACCTCCTTCGACGCTGGATATCGTCGGTACGCACCTTGCAGCCGCACCCTCCCTCTCAGCCCGTGAAACTCGACCAACACCCACTCTACGCCTGCGCCCCATAACGACCTCTTCTCATCCTACACCATCCTTTTCTATGTCATCTCGCTGCCGCTGCTATTACTCGCAGTTTCATCAACCTGGAATCAGACCCACGACTCGGTGGTAGCAGGGGGAAGATGGGGAGGCGTCGTGCGTGTGGGACACATCTGTGGAATCTTGGAGCTGAGAGTGTGGACAGCGGCTCCAAGTCCGTTTTCTATGAAGCGCAGCGTGGCGTTGGGTATCCAAGTAGGCGACATAAAAGAGGGCGTCGAGTCCTGGCATGATTCCACCCACGCACCGCGCCGCTACTCAAATCGTATCAAACTCAGGAAGATGGGTCGCTTCTGTCTACCCTTCTATCTACGGACTCCAGCTCGATTCAACAGATGCCTGGTCCTCTCTCTCCGCAGCGCCGTCAGGCTATGATCGCAGGCGACGTCCACGTTGCGCGCTGCGTTTTGATGGGAGAAAAAGGAGGACGTGAACGCACCATCCCATCAAATTCACTCTCCCGTCGCCCCATTGCCCCATCTGTCATGACTGGCAACTTGATCAGCTACCCAGGCGCCGCCGTTGGCCTCTCACCCTACGGATACCCCGCCTTTGCTCCACGCTGCAGCCATTGAATGCCCACCTGGGACTTCGAAACGATCCTACCGCTGGACATGGTGCGCCAGCGACTATGGTAGGAACGCGCATATAAGGACGTCTACGGAAGTATGCTCGAATGCCCGAATCTTTGTGTCCCCCTGCTCCACGCCTCTGCCTCCACGCCTCCATGGGATCGTCGGGACATCGAACACTCGGATTCTATGTAGTTTTCGCAGAATCGAGAAGCACAGATGGTGGGGGGGCGCAAAGTAGAGTAGAGGGCATGTCGTTGATGACGGTCCGGGAGAGGGAGAGGGAGAGGGAGAGGAAAACATCGGGACTCAGATGCGATCTTTTTTGATTCCAAGGTCCGGTCATCTATCGAGTTTCCACTCCGTTTACCTCTCGACTTTTCTCGATTGCGCCGCCACCAATGCATGTATTTCCTGAGGGTCTCATGCGCCAGCAGCGCCGGTGGCGCGCCCGAACGATGATGAGGTACAGTACGCGACGCAAGCGATGACAAGGATACTCTTGGAAGAGTTATGCCACGTTCCCGCTGGCTATCTCTGCGCACGCCCGCTGTTTTATCGCCCGATCCCACTGAGAACTGCGCCAACCCTGGCAGATTGTTTGACTCTGTCTTGTACGTCGCACGAATAGTGAGATAAGGCATGCGAACTAGTACCATACCAAGTGTACCGTATACATATTTGAGGGACATCGATATATACATATGCCGCAAGGCGGAAATTACTCCGTCGTCAATGTCAGTTCGTATTTCAGGAAGGCAAAATTAGGTAAATGTCTTGTGTGCTCCCAACGCGAGTCTCAATATGGTCCCGCTCGCTGTGTACGTGCTTTGACAAAGCGACCGACTCCACGTGTTGATGGCTTTGCTTCCTGAGGTTGGGATTGAGACTTAGCCCGTCGGCGAGCCCGAGCCCGAGCCAGTAGCAGAGCTTGAGCTCGGGAGTGCTCCGTTTGCAGGAGTGAGTTGCTTGGGGGACTCATATGAACTACAGTTTTGATTAGATGGGAGAAACATAGGAAATGCGTGGATGTGAGTGGTTGAATACGAACTGGTGTTGGTGTTATTCCTCCCGCCATTATTACCGCCGTGGATAGGAGCCAAGAACGCGTCGCCAATGTTGTTGATGTAGTTGACAGTGACGGTACGATGTACGCTATTTATGGAGAAGGAATTCCCAGCAGAAACGGAATTCGCGCCGTCCAAGAATGAGATCTCGTGCGCGGAGATGGTGATGGTGAGGTCGTCTTGTTGGGACGAATGCGAAGGGAATTTGAGGTGGAGGTTGTTGAGTGACTGGAAAGCGCCAGAGGGCGAAAAAGTGGGGGGGATCGTGGTGGCACTCCAATCAACGCTGGAAATGAAGTCGAGGGTGAGACAGATAGAGAGTGTGAGATAGCACGGTCGATGCTGCGTCTCGGGCTCAGGATATTTGTCGATGAACTGTGAAAGAGGGGTCTGATGCCGAGTAGCATTGTTCTCTGCTACATCGCAAATGAGACGACAATAGCCAAGCATCGTGAAAGCATACCAGACGAATAGTCGCCAGTGATTAAAAAAAGAGCCTCAATGACGTCATTGACGACAGCGAGGTCATTATCACCGATGTATCGACCCTCCCATTTCTTCTTTCCGTGAGCAATTCAGAGTGGGTCATAGAGCAAGAAATTCAACACACCCTAACCTCGTGAATAAACCGAGTGCAGTCCTCCTGACTCGCAAATTCAACACAGAAACGGACATCGACCTTTGGGCGTGGATAGTACGATCGCACCTACGTCTATCAGCATCAAGTTCTACGCGAGTGAAACACAAACAAAATAACGACCTTCAATACGGAGGTGGTAATTCGCACTTGAACCGACCCATTCGTCAGCCCTGCAACGTCCAAGTCCTCGTACTCACTAAATACCGATCACTTCGTCATAATGTACATGCATGCTTCAGGCTGGACACGAGCGGCGCCAGATGGAAACAGATAATGTAGATGCAGGAGAGCGGGAGGTGGTCGTTCGAGCGAAGGAGCTGTAGATTCGTAGCGCTCGCGTCTTGCTGGTTCGAGCATGCCTCACAGCAACCACGCCTCAAACATCTCACGAATGTCACCCTCTCCTCATCCAATCATACCGCATTATCATTGATGGGGGCTATTCAGAGCTGTAGAGATCACACCTTTCGGCCGGTCCATCGGGCGGACCACCGCCAACCATACACCGCGCCCCCCTCCCGACTGTACGCTTGCGCCGAGGTCGTGATCACTGCTCTCCAGCAGTTTCATGGCGAGTTATCCATCCGTGAATACCCAGTCAAACAGCGAGCAGGAAGGCGCCAATCATGAACGGGCAGGCCAACGGCCTCGAGGCAACATGGCTTCTCTCCCAACAAGGTAAAAGTGCATGAGATATGGGCGCTACAGTACAGTCATGGGCTGTAGAATCTCTCGGCGCCGCCGATCCGAATGCTTCGCTCGAGCGAAAGGTCTAAAGCTTCGGCGGTGCCACGACGAGGTATCGTGAGGACAGTGGACTGCAAATGATACTGGTTCATGGGAGCATGCGGCGTAAATGAGTAAATGAGAGGGGATGTAACCGTGAAAGTGGGTGTGGGTTCACTGTCGGTTGGCGCTTGTGTAGTGGACTCGGGGGAGGATAGAAGAGGTTCCTCGGTCGTATATCCGAGACTGGATCTATGGATTGGGTCCAATTGAACGGGAGGGGTCATTAAAGCAAGGACACGACGTAGGAACTGCGAAGAGTGTGCAATGGCTTGCTGGTGCGAAAGTGGTACATTGACAGCGGGAGGGGGGAGGCGTTCCAGAGGGGCAAGGACACGCACCTCCCAGAGGAGTTCGAGTTCGAGTTTGAGTTTGAGGGATTGCTGAGTGGCGAAAGTGAGCGACGGGACTGTATTTCAAGCTGCGACCCACGCAAATGGTTGAGTCGAAAGGATACAGGGACAGCATTCGCGGGAGTGGTGTTGTTGAGTGACAAAGATATGCCGCCGCGGAACGACGGAGGAGCTGCGGTAATTGCTATCGCCGAGTCGAGAAGACGGCGGACGAGCCACGCAAACGATTGAGGCGATGAGACGCTCGTAGCGCCATGTGCAACCCCCAAGTGTCAGCGAGGCAGGACGGATCATCTGCTCGCCACGGCGAGTCTGACGTTGGAGCAGAACAGCTAGGCGGCTCCTACCCGCTGCTCTACTACGCCGTATCTTGGATGTCTTCGCAAGAATGTTGCTTCTTGCCTAATTTCGGAGGAAGGGTGAGTGGATCCGTCACCGACGACGACACGACTGAGACTTTGACCTGAATACAATGAGAATGGTGAGGCGTCTTCGAGGGTAGCGCCACCGCGGATTGACTGAGGAGTTCGGACGTATCATGGGTCGAGGAGCGAGCGAAGTTACGGCGTGTGGGATCAGGGCGAGATGAACGTAGTATGGTCGCACTTTGAGCGGGGGGATTTACACTGGTTGCGGAGTCGACAGGATATTTGCACCTCGGGAATCATGGACTCAACCTAGACACTCGATGAAGCTAAAGAACTCGCCAACTTGAGAACCAAGCCTACGAAGAAGACAGTCACTGCTCCCAACTCTCCGTGGATTCACGCAGCGGGGACAAAGAGAGATCTCGGCATTAGAAGTCTCTCTATCGCGTTCCAAAGTATGCGTAGATATGTTCGCCACTTCGTTAGTCGTTGTTAATCGTTGGCAGAGCTAAGGACGTACAGTACTGAGTGCTATCCGGCACTACTAGAATGAGATTCGGGCTGATTATCTCTATAGCTCTTGCCTCACACAGAAGTTAGCTAGTATGGTGACTGAGAGCCGGATTCTGTTATTTCGACGTGTCTCTGAAGAATAAAAATACTCACAAAGCTGTGAGTCCGTGGTGGTTCGTTTTGTGATGGGATGAGGATGTCCTGCTCCGGGCCGGCGATATCCGAAGCTATGTACTCGTCCCGCTGTTAACCTAACAATCATTCAACGTCAACTTGCCTCGGTCCTCGACAGAGGCGAACATCACGGAATACGCGAACAACGAAAGATGGAATCGAGACTTGAACGTTGAACCACGTGTGTTCTACCTCGCAATTTCAGCCGTACCACCTAAAACTCAGGACGCGCGCGCTCGAAAGCGTCATTTCAAAGTGCTCTAAACACTTGGTCCAGGAATTCTCTTCCGGAAGAGGGGATCAGTGGTATACCATCGCCGGTGAGTTGGTCATAATCAGCGCTTTTGCGACTGGCCGACACGCTTTAGCGGCTACACCCAGATCTTCAAGCTCTTTCGGCACTGGTCTTGCGCGCAACCAGGCATGTTTGACGTTAGCTATAATTTGCGGCAGCAACCCTCAGCTCTTCCCGCTGTCTCAAGAACACGAAGCCTGGTCTTGACAGACATCCCCGTCGTCTTTCCCCCTCAATCCACGCCACGCGCACCGCGACTTCTTACCTATTCACCGACCTCCCTCGCTGCTGGATATCGTCGGTACGCACCTTGCGGCTGCATCCTCCCTCTCAGCCCGTGAAACTCGACCAACGTCCACCTCTACGTCCGCGCCCTATGATGACCTCTTCTCATCCCACACCATCCTTTTCTACGCTGATCACTGAGTGGCGGGAAGTGACTTGTCTCGCCGTACGCGTTGTATAGTATACAGCCAAGCATCCAAGCGAATGGTGCCGTCCATTGAGCCCTCTATTTCTTACCTATATCCCATGCATCGGGAGGTACCCTCTTCGTGACAGCGAGGAGACAAACGCACCAAAGGGCATGATACTACGAGACTATCTCAACGTATTCACACCAAAACAGGAACCGAGCACGAATGCGCAATCACGAAGCGGGACGGCAAAGAACTCATCTGCCGGCTCAACATGCTTGCATTGCGACAGCGCTGGCCGACATGCGCCGCATAGTTGGGTCGAATGAAACGTAACAGTGTTTAGCCGCTTGTTCGGGCCGGCAGTAGCGGAACCGAACCACCTTCCCATCTGATGCCACCAACTTCGCAAACCGTAGCGCAACGGGACCTCCATGATACAAATATCAAATAGAACACGCAAGTGGCGACGCTTCTATCCCAAGCACCCCCAGTCTGCGAACGCTGCTACCTATTACCTCCCAAATACCCTGGAACTCAAGATCATTGGCTCAACCTCTCGAGACGTTTGTGGGTTCATGAACATCGCGATTTCTCGGTCAAGAGATGGATAAAGGACGATCTCATGAGTGGTGTATGTTCGTTGGTGAGTTTTGTGCCAATACCTTTGCCATCACCTAATATCCTTTCAGCTTCATGGTTTTGTTCTGCGCGGAGGTAATGTTGGGCTCGGAGTGGATGCGAGAGTGGCATCGTCATGCTGTTTATATGTACTCCGGGGCGACTGCAGCGCCTGGCTCAAGCCCTTCAAGCTCTCAACGACTTCGAGGTATTGGCACACCTTTTGCAGGGTTCGTATTATCCCTTGGCTCCACATCCCTCGTGCGACTCTATCTTCCTACCCACTCGGCGTCTTGACCCTCTGCAGCACATTCGGTTGTTTGAATCCCTCTTTCACAGTCGGCCGAGCCCATGCCCGTTCAATGTCGCTTCAACACTCGCCTCTTTCGGCGTTGGTAGAGGACTAGACATCGTGTTGCATTTCGACAGGCAAGAACCTCACGGACGCACCATCGCCATGCCAAGATCTCCATATCACCGCCAACCGAAGCTCCAGCGCTCCACGTCTCCCCCTGAAAAGCAATGGATAGAATCGCGGTATGTGCGTATCTTCTTGCAATAGCGACTTTTGTTATGAAGATCACATAAACACTTAGGTATGATCTCGAGGCAGCAGCTCCAACTGTGCATGCGAGGGCGGGTGGGCTACACGACTACGTGGCTTTTGTAAATGCTAGGCTTTCGACCAAGCAGTTCTGACATGCGCCAAAGGGCGCTACCGTCCTCGAAAGCCATTCTCACCCAGCCCGGTCTTAGTTGATTCACGTTCCCACTGTTCTTGGACGCGGGGATCACTACGTATCCTGTTAGCGGAGCCACACTTCGCTAAATAATGAAGACCAGAGTCACGCGTAGCTATCTGCACCCCGTCGCATCCAGTTTGGTACTAGGCACATGTGTCGAATCTGGCCACCTTTCAATTGGAAACCCAGAAAAATCATCCTCCGTTGAGCCCAAGGGGAAGTCTGCGGAATACTTTGCGCCGTTATCTTGTCTGCAAAGTCATATCACCTTTAGTTAGTGAGTATGCTGTCATCTTTCCGATGTGAAGCTTCCTCTTGATTGGATGACGGCTAATAGATGTCAATGTTGCGGAGCTTCGCAGCCGGACTTCTGGTCAACTAAATTCGGTTTGGCTGCCGTCACACCGCACCATAGAATGTCTAATGTCTAACCCCCATCACACGCTCAGTTGAACATATGCAACGCAGGCCGTTCGGGACTACATGCGTAGGTGAACTGCCGCCCTACCCCCAAAGTCGTCTAATAGGCGTCATTGTCTATGCTCCGTAGGGTTTCAATTCGCTGGGTGCGACGTAGGCGATTGGCTAATGTTGTTTTCTTCCGTCAGGACCACTTGATGTCTCCTCTCACACCAAGGGGACCCCACCAATCATTCGTGAACGCCTGAAGTTACGTGGCGCAGGGGGGCAGCCTCATGGGATCTACCAATTGAATCGATGTCTAACTCGCTTCCCATACACCTACATACGCGGCACAGAGTTCTACTGGAAGGAAGGTAGTCATTGGGCATCCAAATGTGAATACAAGGTCTGTTCGCCTATAAAGCAGCGCGTCTCAATCTCTCATCCTTCACTCGAACAGCTCAGTCGTTCAAGTACCCAGCCAGTTGTCTACAGCACCTTTTCCAACGCCCATCGCAAATATGTTCTTCTTCAACACCAAACCCATTGTCTTCCTCGTCGTCTTATCTGTTGTCGCTACCTTTGCGGCCGCCACACCCGCCATGCTCGCTCGCGGCGGCGGCAGCTCCTGTGCCCCCTCCACCTCCCTCAAATGCTGCGACCACGTCGGGACTTTCAGCGAGGTCTCCCCCTACATTAATCCCCTTGAACTCGTTGGGGTGATCGCCGCCCTCTTGGGTCTAGTCGGAGAGCTCTTCACGTCCGTCACTCTCGCTCTCACCTGCAGTGGCATCGATATCGGGGGCTCTTGGTGAGTTGCTCTGGCTCGCGGAATTTGGAAGAATAATATTGACTCTCCCCGTAGCAACTCGCAGACCGTCTGCTGTGAGAACGTCGTCTTCAGTAAGCCTTGCCACATACAACCGCTTTTTTAAATCAAGGACCGTGCTGATGTACTTGTTTTGTAGACGGCCTCGTCAATGTTGGATGCACCGCTATTGACATCCTTTAAGCCCTTTGCATTCGGCGAAGCAAATTTGCAGCCTCGCGGGAAGTCCTTGTAGATATGCGAATTCTACACGTAGCTTCTCTTGTTTTGTTGTTTCGTGATTCCGTATTGGCCTATGAATGTATCCTCAACAAGTGTTCACATTATGAGGGTCGACCAGACTGATGCTCTACGCGACACCCTCAGTAGGTGGGTAGTATGCTAACTAGTAAAGACATTTATGCGAGCCCAACAATCATCGCGTATTCCCACTCGGCCTCGTTGACAAAAGGAAGCTCGAATACTTTTGGCGCATTCTGTAACAACCATCATTAACGACCGTCTGGTTTGAGCCTCCACAGTGATGAGGATGGTGGCGAGGGCGCCAGCAGAACCGCTGATGTTCGGGACACTGATGGCGAATATGTTGAAGGGGGGGTGGAGATTGAGGATGCTCTAGGATTGACTGCGAGCGTAGCTGTTCGCGGCTCCGACCTTCTCCCCGTTGGGATACAACGTGTGTACTAGTCGGCGCTACAACATTTAGATTTTGATTCGATTCGATGTTGCGAAGCAATGCACATGCATGAACTTACGCGATGATCATTATCAGGACGGTAGAGCACTCGTTGATTGTCTTGCAAAAGGTGTGAACTCCTTTGCTTGCGACACTGTTCTTGTGGTCCGACGACCAGGTCCACTTCGAATCATTGAAGCTCAGGACGGGGTACCACAGCCCCCAAAGTGACTTGGAGTGGATCGCTTGAAGTGCGGGGAAGCACCACTTGTTGTCATCGTTGGCCGAGAGCTGGAAGTCTTCGGGAATAGTTCTCTATGTTTCGTCGGTGATGAAGATAGTGTGAAAGTGGTCCATGAGGGAGGGGGGTTCGAGGACACACGCCACCACAAGCAGCTGAATCTTGGGTAGCGGGAGCGAATTTGGGACGACCAGGAGAAGGAGAAGTGTGCTCGGTGACGAAGGCGAGACTGAAGTTACGCCAGACTTGTAGAGAATATGGGCTGCGGCGGAAGTGTTTGGAAGTCGCGCGTTAGCCTCCAGGAGAGGCGGAGAGGAGAGCGCGATGAGACTGATCCGTCACTGGGGGCAGCGCTCGATCTGGAGCAGGATGGGAGAGGGATGATCAGTGTGCCGATATAGCGAGCGGGAGAGATAAATGAACTCACGGAGAAGGAACAAAATGTTTGGTGTTGAGTATACTTGTCAATTCTTTCTCACTTTTCTATCCTCCAGCGCAGTGCGCCGAAATTGCGAGTCACGATCGTTGTCGTCGCGTAAGGTCCCCAGCTCTCTGGTGCACGTACATGTTCTTTGCATCGACGTCGCAAGGTCTGGACTCGTGATGGCCACAGGGACCTCAATGTAGCAGAAAAGCCAGGCCTCCTCGACGGGCTGCTCTACTACGCAGTATCTTGAGCGCCACTGGAAAACGCTGGCCATTGTCTCAGTTCGAAATCGAAATGAGGGTGGGCATGGAGGCGTTTTGGACGAGGGTATGGAGATGTATGCTAGTCCCAAGGATGCGCGAGGTGTCCATTGCCCCGAATAAAACAGTCGTGATGCGGAATGATCCTACCGACGGTATCGCAGCTTCAAAGCAGGCGCAAAGCATCTTGGTCGGGGCGACAGTAGGGAGCACGAGGCGCGGTAAACATCCTGCTGCGATGGGTGCGGGGTGGAGTCCAGCATCTTTCGGCGAGTATGACGCCATGAGAACGGCGAGTCGATCCGTAGGTCGCTGAGGTGGCCGTAGGATGGTGGGGAGCATTCAGGAACTAGAGAATAGCTGCCAGAGTGCGAGTCATGATTAGTGCACGCTTCTCCAGGTCCTTTCCCTCGAGCACCGGTTTCGCACTCACGCAAGGGAGGCTATGTGCTCCCCGATGTATATGGTATGCTCCGTCATTCGTGACCCGCCGAAGAATCTTGAGCAGCGAGGAATTATCACTCGAGAGCTTTGGAACCACGGAACTGTCAGACGTGATGCTAACTATGAAGTGGGAATATGGAGATACGCAATGGGAAGTGCAAGGCGAGGATTGCAGCGTGTACCTGAGATCTAGGCAGTTTCGGTGGCACTCGAGCGAGATTTCGAGGGCCGATAATTGTCTCGATCACATCAAAATCTACCAAGTGTACGAGGATCGACGAAGTACACGTCGTGGGCGGTAGGGGCTGCAAGGACCTTCCGCCGTCAGCTTTATAATTCCCCACTGCGTGACTATGGGACAGGAGGGAAAACGCACCAAGAGGCCAGCACGCTTCTGCCCACTGCCCAGCGCGAGATTGACTGCGCTCAAAGCAGAGCGTGAACCGAGCGCGAACGCAAGACCATAAACAAGGAACTCGGGCCCTGGCTGAATTTGAGGAGTGTGTGGGTGCTTGTTGCTTCGTGTTCTAGCCGACAAATTCCTAGTGCAGCGCCGGGAGTCTTGGTTTCGTGAGTTTATCTACGAAACGAGATTGGTGAAACGTCCTTTACCTGGAGGAAGTGGAGTCGAGATGATGGATTGACACTGAACATATGTTCGGGCCGGCGACATCCGATGCCACTCCCTCATGACCCTTTCAGTCAGTTTCCTTCTATCTCGACCAAATCCCGTTGCACCTCACAGAACACGCGAACAATAAGTTATCTACTCCAGGAATCGAATATCAATAAGCATTTTAAGGCGCAAGGCCACACTACTTCCCGCGCCGACCTCAGGTAAGTGCTCCCCGATTCATACATGTTCACCATTTGATCTGGCGTGGAAGGGGAGAAGAAGGGAAGTTGGGTAGAATGGGATTCCTTTGTCGGTGAGCTCGTCATACTCTGTCGCTAGCATCCAACGCTCCCAACGCTCAACACGGGCTCTTTGATTTCAAGGTGTCCGCGCACCGTTTGGAACCTTCGCGTTCACCGTGGGCTTCTTCTTTGTCGCTCCAACCAGCCTAGACCCACTCGTACGATCGCTCGACGTCTCACTAGGGTTGGACGTTGGCTACGTGTCCCATTTCGCAGTCTGTGGGGCTCATGGTCAATGACGCATCAACATCCGCCTCGCGCGACGTTTCCTATATGCTTCCCATGCACTACCTATACCAGTGCATATGTTCCATTTCTCCCCTCTGGTCCGGTCGCGTGGCTCCATACGCTCAAATCGAGTACTTCGAAGATTACAGACGTTAATATTTCGATCCCAGTTCGATTGCATGAATGTGAAGATGGAATGGTAAGAAGAATATCGCATACTCGATTCAGATGGCCCGCTCTAATTACAATGCTCGATAACTAGCTACTCCTATCCTCCTAAGTGCTTCCTTTTCCCATCTGGGCCCGCCGCGTCGAAGTTAGCTTCGCCGTTGCTTCGAGGACGTCCGTGGTCATTAAAAATGACACGCTTCGCGCGGACCCAAATAATTGTGTATATAAAGCCAATTGTCGAAACGTCGAATCCTCGCCCTCGTTTCTTCCCCCCACAATCCCCAAAACTCGCATATTCAGAAACAGACGAAGAGAAGCGCAAAGATGTTCACAAAACTACTGTGAGTGCTGCACGCACTTCGTTGTCCTTTTACGTGGCTTTGCCGTCTTCCGGCTGTAGTCGCTGCCCATCCTCGCCTTTGCACGCCTGCGAGGGAGGCGCAGTACGCAGTACGACTGACGACAACCTTGAGGCAGTCTTCCTCCTCGTAGTCTCCGTTACTAACGTCCTCTCCCCCAATGTTCTGCAGCACATTCGCATTCCTCGTCTCCCTTGCGGCAGCTCTCCAAATCGAACCTCTCAAAGATGCCCACACTCAGGGAGTTGTGAGGGTAGCATGGATCGGCGAGGCTGATGATGCGTGAGTGTATCGAGTATGTAGTCCCCTGATACAACTCGGATATTGGGTAATGCGAGTTTCTCTGGCACCTAATGCCAAATTGGGCAAATGGCGGGACTCGGCCCTCGAATACTCCTTGTTAACGGCGGGGTGGTGCGCCCCCTTGACTGGTAAAGAATAAAGAATCAAAATTCACTCCTACCTAATGAAGGGGACACGGCGGGGCTGTTCTGGGAGGATGTATGGAATATACTGAGTCATTGTCATAACCTGAATGTTTTGCTAATGTGTCGAGCTCAAACGAAACAAGTAAAGTGGGTTCTCAGCAGCCCGATGTTTGCAACTCCAATTATTCCAGGAAGATCAATAGCGCGATGTGTGCGGGTCGCGACAAGCAGTTGCAGCACCGACATGGTGTTCGGAGTCCAAAGGGTGTTCTGCGCCGTTCCCGATCTCTATTACCCAAAGCGGACCCTCGGAATAATGGCCGACGCGCGGAGTTGTATCAGGGGACTCAAGACTGGAGTGTATCCCTGCTTCTTACGCTTAAGCTTTGCCCGCCCTCCACGCTACTTCGACGCATCAGAGCTATTCTCCAACCTCTCCACTCTCTCCTCGTTCCTCTTGCACACACTGCCTTGCTGACACTCTGCCTGTAAATGTAGAAGCCGATTCGCCGCTTTCTCTGTTTTCCTCCACCATCCGTCTTTCAGCTCCGACTTCGCCATCCTCAACAACCAGCGCTCCGCAGACGGTGGCGCCAACGTCACGCTTCCCGCCGTTCCTGTTCAGTACGTGGCTTTCTTTCGCTCTGCCCATTTATATGCTGGTGCCTCTTTCGCGTATTCGGCCAACACTCTTGCTTGATGGCTTAGCGTCTTTCACCACTGTTATCAGCTCGATGTTTATGCTTCGTTCATGTCGTTCCTTGCTTTCATCCTCTCTCTTTAATCTTGCCACATGTTCTAACCCTCGCGCTTCCTTCCAACAGATCTGGCTACACCCTCCGCGCAACAGACATAGGCAACATCAACAACGAATTTGCGGCCTCCTCCTCATTCTCCATCGGCCCTGAAGTATCCACCAGCTCCCCGATCCCCTCGTCCACTTCTTCCCCAGCCGTCACGGCCTCAGGCAGCGGAACGATCCTCTCCGTGCCCTCGATGTCCGCGTTCGGTATGACTGTGTCTTCCGCGACGGCCTCGTCGCGTCTAGGCACCTCCGGCGCGTCGAGTGCGGGAGGGGCGGGGAGCGGGACGAATACGGCGGCGCAGGGGGGCGCTACGAACTTTAATGCTAACGGAGTTACGGGTGCTGGGGTTGGCGCGTGGGGGCTGGGGGCTGCGGTTGTGGGCTTGGGGTGGGCCCTTGGGCCATACTAGGTGGTTCGGCCAAGTCGCCGCCCTCTGAGTGGAGGTCCCAGGGTGGGGATGCGTTGGACGGGGCGGATGTATATCGTGATGATGCCACAGGCATCTTGGACGTTGTAGCGACACGGACTTTGATATGCGCGGTTTGGTAGACCATCGGACTTGGATGGGACTATTCTTGCAAAGAAGGCGTGGTATTGTTCGAGTATGGATAGAACTATGTATGGTGCATATGCTTTGAAGAGACTCACTTGCATCTATGTACCCATTTAGCTTGGAGGAGGCACGCCTCGACGCAGCTGGCAGCGTCTGAGTTCTCTATGGGCTGAGATCCGTGAGACAGTTGAAGCGCTCCGAGGCATGCCATATTGATATGAACGTGGAACTACACGCTCCTCGTTTTCGCCTGCCATGTAACAAACGAACAACTAGCATTGAGGGTGTCAGAATGTTCATGCAACTTGTGGCCAGTCCTCTCAAGTTGTTCCAGTATCCTTTGATACGCAATCTTGCTACATGTGGACTCCTCTCTATCGCGTGTTTCCCAACTTGAATGAACATATACTCTAATACTATGTAGAACGCCTCTAGCTCCTTTTCGTCTCACCCTCGCTCGCGGTACTTGGGACTTTCGGCATGAGCAAGCGACCTCGAGCTTACCAGCTCACTGCAGATGCGGTTCGGAGAACCTCAGCTGGCTGTACAATCGGGAGCAACAGCTCTGGGACTTGGGTATGTAGACACGGCTTCACGCGACGCTACAGGGTAGATTCGAGTAACTAGGACGTCGTGTAGAGACGACCTGGGGGGTCAGCACGCGACCCATTCTCCATGATAGCTGCCTCTCGACTTGCCGCCATGTTGCGCTCTATGTGCTGAGACCGAATGTATGAGCCTGGGTCGTTGGCGCACGCATATTGCGCGTGGCGTCAATGTTGGGGAGAGTGACGACGAGGGACATTGATGTGAAGCCAGATGGTGCACAGAGGCCTTCGGGTTTTCAGGACAACTCAAATAGTTTGAGGTGGGCGTGGCAGTCACCACGGAGTACCAACAAGAAGAATGATGGACTACCCATCAGACCACTGTCAAAAGCGCGTGAGGCGGTCACGGCACAGGTGCTGGCATGTCAAATCCACCAGCGAAGATACACCGCCCTTATCCCTCTCTCGTGATTCCTGCTTTTGGGTGGTACATTGTAAATGCTACGGGGAGTCGATCTTTCGTTTGTGTTCCGTGGAGAAGTTTTGGCATGTATTCGTTCTGTCACGGAGCCGATGCGGGGAGAAGAGAAATTGCGACCAGATCTATGTAGTGTAGTAGTGAATATACACGTAGACTAGTAGTATAGTCAAATGAAATGCGAGGGTCCGCCTCCGGCAGGACAAGTCCGTGCGACACCCGAATGAACTAAGTGTGATAAACGGTGAGTCCGAGAGTGAAAACAACAACTAGGAAACTTCGGATGCTTCGGATGGCTTCGGATAGCTTCGGACGCGCTGGGACGCGGAGCGAACAACTTCGGCTTCGGATAGTACGATGAGGACGGCAGGAGAATGATAAGGATGGCAGGAGAACTGGCTTCGGATCGGACTCGGACTCGGACGACGGCGAACTCTGACAACGGAGGAGGAAAGCTTCTCGGGCGACTTAGATTCTGACTCGATGTTGGGGGGAAACAAATCTGATCCTTCTAACTACGAGTACAGGAGGCTTTTGTAGCTAAGAAAAATGTCAGATGAAGGAAAAGTCCGAGACGAAAAGGCACCAGGAACGAATAATGGTGCTAGTATAGTCCAAGTATTAGAGTCCGAGAACAAAAGATATACAAAAGATTGATCCGAGCTGTCTGATCCGTTATCACGTGTGTCCGGTACGGGTTCGTGACGTCCAAGTCATGTGCGAGCGTGTCCAAAGAGTCGGAGAGGGGTCAATAGGGGATAGGGGAGGTCGGACTGCACGGAACGAAAGGGTTCAACCCTTACATCCCCCGGGGACTTTATGTGTTGACCCTCCGGGGCAACGTACACGGCGAGCAAGAATTGCGAAGTGGGCAGGTGGGTGGGTGAACGAAAGTGTGGCGTGAGACCAAAGGAAGCGCGGTCACATGACGGATTGTTGATATTTCGACGAAGTCCAACATTCACTCTTGTTCTTCTTCGTCCATCACATTCAGCCTCACCGCCGCACACTCATGGAGCAATACACGCCATCCCGCACCTTAGAACAACTCCGCGCCGCGAAGAAGCAAGAGGCCGTCGCTGCATACGAAGAGGAGGCCGGCCGGTTCGTGGATATGGGCACGGCCCTGCCGGAGCTTGACGACGAGCGTCGGGTCGATGTCGAGATTGCGGTTGCCGAGATGGAGCGGGAGCAGGTAGGTGTCAACGCGGCGACGATTAGAGACAGGATGCTGACGACGTATAGGAGTGGCTGATGGGCGCCGAGGACATTCTTGTGGCGCGCCAACTGCAGAACACTGTCGAGGACGACGTGAAAGAGAAATTGGCCGGTGCCACCACACAACTTCTGGAGGCACAGTCGCGAATCGCGGAATGGCAGGCCGAAGACGAGAGACGGGCCCGAGATGCACAGGAAGCGGCGGAGGCGGAAGCCAGGAGGGCGCAAGAGGTGCGTGACACACGCCGAAGGGACGCGCTCGCCGCTGAGGAGCGTCGTCGGGCCGCACAGAGGCCACAAATCGTGTCCGGCTCGGGTACCATCGGATCCGGGAGCACCACCATTGATCGTCCCGAGCCGGAGAAGACATCGGAGGTCATCGAAATCCCCTCGGAGGCTGAGGATGACAGTACTCCGGCCCCTCGTACGCGAAAACGGGCTAGCGCCATCCGAGCTGGAAAACGGAAGATGGTGGAGAGCGACGGCGGGGAGCCCGAGACAACACCTCGGGCGAAACGACTCCGAAGGCGCACAGGCAATGCGGAGGACACAAATGAAAAGACTCCGCCACTGCCACCGGCTCTCGACGTTATGGAATACGGGGAGTACGATCCGGCCGGTAAGGTGACCCATATATCGATATAGCGTAAACTAACGTATCCTCCAGACGCCAACGCGAGTCCGAACAACGTCGAATGGGGGTGCGGGTTCGGCGCACCCAAGGAGTCGTGCCCACATCCGGTCGTCGAGTTTTCGGACGCCCGACGATGCCTGCACTGCCAGCAGGCTCATTATACCTGTGTTGGAACCGGTTGCCACGCATGCGAGGCATGCACGGGTTCGAAGGTCAGATGCTCGCATGCGAAGACCCGAGCAAGGCCAGTGAAGACGTCGGACGCGGAGCCATCCGGTAGCAAGGTCCCGGGTGGTAGAGGAAAGCAGCGGACAGCCCCAGGGCCGAAGACACGACGTCGGGTAGGAGCAGGCCGGGAGACGGCTCGCACTACGCGGGCAGCGACGGGGAGTGCGCTTATGCCAATCCTGGCCGAAGCGTGCGCGGACCACGAGCTGCGGACCATTGTCCAGGTCATGGCGTCGATGGACGCTCGGATCGCCGCTCTGAAGCAGGCTACGGAGGAGGCGGAGAGCACCCGGGCGGCGGCGACGAGAAGCATCGCGGCATTGATACTGCGGCGGGAGCTGGAAGACACGCAACGGGCGGAAGCGGCGGATGCGGAGGAACGAGAAGAGGACAGGCAAAGGGACGAAGGTTCGGAATACGATGGGGAGTGAAAGAACAGAGAAGGGCGCTTGGCCCGTAGACAACTTTTTGACAGATGTATGTAAATTTCTGAACAGATCTTGGAAAACAAAGAAAATATAATGTGTGAGTGAGCAAAAGTGAAAGGAAAGGACGCAGCGTGAGTCCGAAGTCTTCGGGAGCAAAAAGAGTCATAGGCGTCGTCGGATGGCGCTTACGAGAACTAATCTAAGAGAATATAAGGATCGGAAAGGCGGGAAATCAATGGAATAGCCGATAGATGAGAGACGGAAGGGGACCGAAGTCCGGGATAACACAGGGCAAACCCTGGTCTGGGTGGAAAAAATTTTAGATTACTGGAAGGCGTCAAAACTCGGTCGTTCGTCGTATTTTGTAGTCCGGCGAAGGTAGCAGCGGGGTGAGGTTCCGGAAGATCTTCGGAGTCATCGGATTCGTCGGGTTCGGCAGAATGGGGAACTGGAATGAGATGGCGGTGTCGGGCGTAGTACGGAATGACGCGGAACGCTGCATAACGTAGACTAGAGACGGAGCCATCAAGTTCGGACAGGACGTAGGATCCACCCTGAGTGCGTCGGACGACAATCATAGGTCCCATGTAGCGAGGCAGATGTTTGAGTGAGTGATCCCCTTCTATCTTCTTATCACGAACGAGAACGAGCTGCCCGGGAAGAAAGTTGAAGTCCTTGATGGTCCGGGCGAATCGTCGTTCGAATTCCTCGAGGGAGGCAATCCGACTCCGAATGACTTTCTCCCACATACGTTCGATATCGTCCGGACGCTTCTGGAGTTGTCGGGCGCGCATGGAGATGAGTTGTTCAGTGGTGAGAGTGGTATCGGGAGGAGGGGCGAGATAGGTAGCTTCGTGGAGGTCGAACGGAAAGAGGGGCTCAATGCCATGTACCATGTAGTAAGGAGACATTCCGGAGGTTTTGGAAATGGTGACGCGCTCGGCCCAGAAGACTGATGGTGCGACTTCAACCCATTTCTTCTCATTGCCATCCGCAGTCTTCAGGAGCGAGCCCCGAACGTCCCGGTGTCTCCGCTTGACGAGTCCGTTGGCTTGGGAGTTGTACGGAGAGATTCGGATGTGTCGGATGCCGTATTTTTCTGCGAGATATTCGACTGCCTTCACAAACGGGGTACCGTTATCCGTCACAAGTTCTTCGATGGCGCCCCAGCGGCATAGAATCTCTTGGAAAATAAACATGCCCAGTGTCTCCGCGGTCTCCCGGCGAAGCGCGCGCCACTCCGGATAAGAGGTAAGAGCACACCGAGCGTGGACTATCTTGTTGAATTTGTTGGCGGAAGGCATCACCATGCAGTCAATGTG